TGCCTGCAGATCTTCAAGTTTATGTGACATTAGGCATAAGTCATCGGCGAAATCCAAGTCTTCTAGGTTCTTTTCCGTCGTCCAGTGTATCCCCCTCTTCTCGCTGCCTACTGTTTGCTGCATGATCCAGTCCACCACAATAAGGAATATCATGGGGGATAGTAGGCAACCTTGTTTCACTCCTGTCTTCACTTCAAAGGCATCACTGAGCTTCCCATTGTGGATTACTTGGCATGTGGCATCTTCATATAGTTGTTGAATGAGGCGGATAAAGGTTTGCGGTACTCCGTAGTATTGAAGCAGTTTCCAAATTACTTCTCGGTCGACGCTGTCAAAGGCCTTCTCAAAGTCGATGAAGTTGAGGTAGAGAGCTGATTGCCATTCTACGCTCTGTTCTATGATGATACGAAGTGTTGCAATTTGGTCAGCACATGATTTGTACTTCCTGAAGCCTGCCTGTTCCGGTCGCAGTTTTGAATCCAGTGCGTCTTTAAGCCTCTCCAGGATGATGCGGCTTAATATTTTACTTGGGGTGGACAGGAGAGTGATTCCGCGCCAGTTCTTGCAAGCACTGAGGTCTCCCTTCTTCGGCAGTTTGACAAGGTAACCCTTCTTCCAATCGTCAGGTACCTTCTCTTCCTTCCACACCTTCTGCAATAGTGGTGTGAGCATGTCCGCTGTTGTCTCTGCATCTGTTCTCAGTGCTTCTGGCGGGATTCCATCTGGTCCTGCTGCTTTCCCGCATTTCAGTAGCTTTATGGCGTTCAGGACTTCCATTTTCGTTGGGGGATTTATGTTCACTTGTAATTCAGCGGCTGCAGGTGGTATTTCTGGACGAAGTGCAGGTGGTGGTCGATTCAAGAGCTTCTTGAAGTGGTCGGCCCATCGTTTCCTCTGTTTCTCTTCTTTTGTAATTAAATTTCCTTCTTCATCTTTTATTGGTTTCATCTGTGTTGGTCTCTTCCCTGATAGCAACCTGGTTATTTGATACAATGTCGTCAGGTCTCTCTTACCTGCAGCCTGTTCTGCTTCACTTGCCAGTGTTTCGTAGAAGTGTCTTTTGTCTTTGCGTGCACTCTTCTTCACTTCTTTGTCCAGTGTTTTATACATTGTGCTCAGTTCCTCTTGTCGTTGAGCATCCTTGCACTGGTTTATCTTCTGCTTCACCATCCTCCTCTCCTCTATCAGCTTCCAGGTATCCGTCGAGATCCATTCCTTGTCTTCTTTCTTCTTCCTTCCTAATACTGTTGTGCAGGTTTCTTTCCACATAGCTTTCAAAGACTTCCAGTGTTCTTCCACACAGGTTTCTTCAGGGATGTCCCTCGATGTCTCCCATTTTGTCTTGATGGCTGCTTTGAAGATCTCCTTTGTAGTTTCATCCTTCAGTTTCCGAGTGTTGTACTTGAATTGAGGTCTATCACCAGCTTCCTTGAAGGCTTTTAACTTGATTTGGAAGGTTCCTTGCACTAGATAGTGGTCTGAACCTACATCTGCTCCTCTTCTTGACCTTGTGTTAAGTAGACTGCGTCTCCATTTTCTTGAGATTGAGATAAAGTCGATTTGATTTTTAGTGTGTCCATCTGGTGAAGTCCATGTCGCTTTGTGGATATCCTTGTGCCTGAACACACTGCCTCCAATCACCAAATCGTTGAATGCACAGAATTCTGCAAACAATTCTCCATTCTCATTCATTTCACCTAGCGCCTCTCGACCCATGGTTAGTTCTCTTCCTGTGTTGTCACCTCCCAGTTTGGCATTCATGTCGCCCATTAGAATTTTGATATCGCCAACTGACGTCTTGTCCAGTGTTGATTGAAGTTGTCTGTAGAATTCCTCCTTTTTCTCTTGCTCTGCATTATTTGTAGGTGCATAACATTGTATGATTGTGACCTTTCTTCCTTTTGAGTTGAATCTTGCTGTCATGATCCTGGAGGAGATTGGTTCCCACTGCATGAGAGCCTTCGATGCTCTTGAGGACATCATGATAGCCACTCCCTCAGTGTGCTCGTGGTTGGCGTCTGGGTGACCGGAGTAGATTATTGATTCTCCAGTTGACAGTTTGGAGAGTCCACTCCCATTCCATCTGCTTTCGCAAATCCCAAGCACTTCGATGTTATACCTTCTCATCTCCTTTGCAATCTGGGCTGCCTTACTGGGTTCAAACATCGTACGGACATTCCATGTCCCCACGTTTACTTTCGCTTTCATCGAGAGAGAGGATACACCGGCCAATTGGCTTCCCGAAGGCCTCTCAAGCGAGTCATTATTCTCTTCCATCAGTTCAGTGTAACAGCGAATACTTGAGTAATCTAATGATTGGATGCTTGCTTGATAAAATTACACTGATTCTTATTTGAATGAAATTCATAATCAGTCAGTCTATGATTGTTGAAATGAGTTTGACGGTCTAGGTTACCGCACTTCAGATCAATATGTCAAGATACAGATGCATGGACAAAATGAACTATTGTTAAGATAGATAAACAGACAAATGTTTAGAGGTAGTATTCATCACGGACTGATATCACTTGAGGAACCATTGAAAATCTGGAAGCACTGGACAGTTGTTTCGTCCTAGTATGGGACTCCTCAGCAGTACTCACCCACGACCCAGCTAGAGATTGAACTCAAAACCTTCAGGTTTCACGTTGAACGCGTTAACCATTCAGCCACTGGGTTGGGTTTTCAGTGGTTCACAGTTTCCAACTTCCGTCAATTCATGATATAGCGTGTCTATCACTCAAGGTCTTCAGTTAGCGTCCACTTCACTTCCGACTTCCGTGAAACCTGAAGGTCCTGAGTTCGATCCGTAGTCTGATCGTGGGTGCGTACTGCTGAGGAGTCCCATACTAGGATGAAACGGCTCTCCAGTGCTCCCGGATTTTCAATGGTTCCCCAAATGACGTCAGTACATGATGAATACTTTCTCTAAATCAAAAATCCCCATTCATCTCAAAGATAAATGTTTGTTAATTGGTTCTCTGTGTGTGTGTGTCATCCAACATGAGAAGGATCAAGGCTGTTTGTTAACCACTACACTAAAAAGGATGCTTAAAGCAGTACTTCCATGGGTGATAGATTATTGATCTAAGCAATCAGGTGCACTCTAAATCAAGTCATGGCTTAGAATACTAGTGTACCTATTCATTTACTATTACACAGATGATTGAAAAACTTAGTGTTGTTGTGGGTTTGAAGCCCAGAGGAGACATCACTTCCGCTGGGGTTGCAGGTACGACCTGCTGATGAGCGCCGACAAGCATAAAACCTAAGTCTAGCGCTTTCTACCGACCGCCTCCAAATAATTAACCTATCTGTTTCACTGTTGTTTCTAAATCTTACTCTTTTTGGAGTGTGGACGTCTGGTCATCGGCTTATACAGTTCATTTTCAACCAATCAATCAACTGAAGTTGATAGTTGGAGAATTTAGATGATATTGCTGAGAAATGATTTCAGCAGTACAACTGCTTGCACACCTTATCCTGTCTGATTATCTGATTGATTGACTTAAGGGTTACATCTACACCTTATCTATCAAGATTTGGATATAAAGGTGGTATCATTCAACAGATGGTACTGGTGGAAACTGTAAGTGATTACTGCATTGCATTAACTTTGTGTCAGTCTTTACTGTAAATGGTCTATCTTATGGTTGAGGATAACACAGTAATACAAGTTAATTACAGAAGACAAGCGCAGAAGACATGCACATGACATAGTTCTGTTATGTGAAGACGCTGACAAGATGCAGAGTTTTCTGAACACTTTGAGTGCGAATTTGAGAATGTTTGGGATGCGTTTCTCGCCACCCAAATGCAAATTGTTGCTCCACGATTGGTCTTCAACGGTGCCCCACCGCGGCTAACAATACAGAATGTAGTAGTGGCTCAGTGTGTCGACCACTTCACTTACCTAGGAATAAGCATCAGCCCTGGTGGCTAGCTCAGTGGCCGATGGAAATTTCTCACGAATACAAAAGGCTCAGTTGGCTTTTGACAACCTATGCTACCTGTAGCGCCGCCTTGATATCCGTTTGTCTATTAAGGGTTCCATGTACTACACAGCAGTCCGTTTGACCACCATTGCCTTTGTAGTACAGGCCGTATTTCGTGGTGTCACCACGTGAGTAACGCAGAAGTTGGGTATGGTTTTAGGGAGAAGAGGTAAGTCGGTTGACAAAGTTATGAACCTTCATCGACTGAGATGGCTTGGACAACACATGTGTTACTTAGCCGAGTCGCCGAATGCTTCGTCACACAATGTTGGCCGAAGTAGGTCCAGAGTGGAAAAAGACTCGAGGTGGCCCGACTAAGATATGGCACCAATACATGAAGTCTGTGACTGTTAGTTTGAGCTATGTGGGACGATGCAGACTAGGTGGTTGGGGTTCGCAGGACAAGAGGAACCAGTGGCTTGAGACTCTAGGTGATGCATCATGGCTGAGAACCGATGTCAGTGGCGCAGATGTATACACACATTATCCTCATCTTAACAACGCTATACCGAATCTCACTATTTTGTCACTCCTCTTTCCTTTCTTCTCATACTTTGTATTTCTTTTGACTGCATTCACTTGTCTTCATCCTTCACCTCACTACCTTTTTACTTGATGTGCTGATATGAGGTGTGGCAACTCGGACCGTTACGCAGTAATGCCTGGTCCTATGTTGATATTGATTGATTGAGTGTATAAACTATGCCCCATGTGTTACAGCAGATTTAAGAAGTTTTTTTTTTCTAAGGTTGGTGTTTGAGAGACTTTGATATTAAAACGTAGAAGCTGTTGCTTTCGAGTTTAATTATCTGAGATTACAGTGAACAAGGCCGTTAACAATGTTTATCTATCTTTATTACTAATGCTTCACTGTATATTCGACTAGCGAACTATATAACGATTGCATCAGTGGGATTATATTGTTTATTGGGTATAAATCTTTTTTTTACACCTATTGTTGACTATTGTTTCTGGACTGGGTTCCTTTCTTTTTTATTACTCTAGGTTTTACACACAGTTCAAATGTTCACAAATCTTATCAATCCAGTTGTTGAAGCCTTAAAGTATGTTAGCAGCTTAGGTTATGATATGCTGACGTGTAAGTTGGTTTTCTTCGTTGTCTTGTCCTATTGTTGTTGACTGATAACTTTACTGTTCCACCACCACCACCAATCCCACTCTCATTATTGATTTTTGATTTCATTTGATAATTGTCAATCAAACTGAGTGTGAGTTGTGATAACGAAGATATGCCAAGGGAATGAATTCAATTTAGTTTCCACTTTGTTCTCCTCTTGTTGACTATCTTATAATTATCATTTCGACTATCTGAGATAACTGTGGTTTGACAGACTAGTATCATTGATACTGGATGTGATGATTGAAAGTGAAATGAAAATTTGGACCGTGGCCAGATTCGAGCCAGAGACCACCGAGTTTCCGGTCATGGTTCAAATTTTCATTTCACCTTCAATCATCACACCAGTATCAATACTAGTCTGCCAAATCACGGTTATCTGACTCAGATAGTCAAAATGATAATCCATATGATACTACCCCTTTTTAATTCAGTTAGATTTGAATGAGGATGAAAAATTGTGACTGTAGGTAGTGTGAGTAGCATCAAGCAGTAGTAGTAATGGATCACGAATTCACATGGTAGTCAGGCTGGTGACTGGTTGAAGTGAAATACGAATGTGATCAGCAGTCGGACTTGTTAGTTCAGTTTGGTAGAGCATCGGCCTGAAAACCCAGTGGTCACTGGTCCAAATCATCATTTCACCTTCAACCATCACCCAATATCTTATATATGTTGACTTCGGAATGATACAGACGCCTGTGTGAGTGAGTATATGTGTGTATGCTTGATAAAGAAGTTAGCTTGGCTTGAGTTTTGTAAACCTAGTTAAAATAAGTATTGAGATGGGAGAAGATTCACTTGAAGTGCAATTTCATATCATCAACAATGAAACACACTTATTGTATGAAGGCTAAAAGCTTAGTATATGGTATGGGATTCTAGCGTGATACCCATAAACTGATGATTGATGGGTTCAGTGCTTAGACTAACGAGGCTCAGTCTCAATATTGTAGTGATGGTGGTTATCACAATAATATTTTGTTGACAAGGAGAATAACACGCTAACACGACATATTTCCTTCTACTTTGCTTTGAAAAAAGAACCTGCTTTTCATTTCTTTCCACCGGAAATTGGTCTAATTAATTTTATTTCTCTTATAGTATATGTGTTTAGTGTTGATTTATTATGATTTAACTGTGATAAATAATTCCATTGTATGTGTGATAATAATTGTTAATGATTGACTGGCGTATAATTGTTTAACCTAGAGATTTTCATGTTTCTACTCCCTTTATCTGTTTTATCGGGCAATTGGAATAATGATCGGTTAAAGTGGGATAGTGTTGGTGTGTACAGAACTAAAGAATACCCTAACAACTACTAAAATATCCAATTATTTATTTATATTGTTATTTGTCCCTTGGGTTCCTATTGGAACATGGGGCTTCAGTAGCAGCACGTCTCCATTGCACTCTCTTCTCTGCAGTGTGACTTCACCTTGCTCCACGACTGCCCATAAGCTCTCATTTCTTCTTCCTACGATCTCCTCCATGTCACTCTCATCTGGGACGTTTAACTCGTCGTCTCCCATCTGGGTTCCACTCGACAGCCTTGCGCATGATGTCCCCAGTCGGCCTTCTCAGTGTATGCTCAGTCCATCTCCACTTTCACTATCTTCCGCATATCTGTTGGGCGATAGGTTCTTGGTTTGTTGCCAGTCAGGCCAGAGTTCCTTGTTCCTCATTCTCATTATTCTGGCCATCTGAGCTTCAATAACGAGTCAGCGTAGGCAGCAGTTGTTGATGAATGTCTGTAGTTGTTGGAAATACCTTTCGCAACGTGCCAAGTCTCTCTCTCAACCATCACACAGAAGCACTGACTTTACTGAATTGTGTTGAAAATCCGGATGTTGTTGACGCTTTATGCTGAGTGCAGTGCAGTGCAGAAGATCTGCACACTGGTTTCAGACTAATGAACGCCTGTCTTGCTGTCTTTCCGATCCTGGCTGGCTTTGATGTCCTTGTGTGTGCCGCCGCCTGTAGTTGAAACAGTGGTGCCTAGATAGGTGAAGAGGCTACTTCCTTTAAGTTTCTTCCGTTGATGGTGATTGGAGCTTGTTGTTGTTCGTGGTGTTGGTTGAGTAAAATATCCAATTGAATTCCTAATTTTGCATCAGAAGGTGGTGTTTTTTTTTTAACATAAGATCAACACCCGAATCGATCATTTCAGTTATTGTTGAGGACTAACCTTTAAAGTCTACTCATTTCAACTAGGAGGTTCTCTAGTATTCATATTTATACTTTTATTTCTTTTGAGAGGATTCATAAGTGTGTTATAAACCTTTAGACCATAACTGTTACGATTGTACTAACAGAAAAATAAACAATATTGAGTTATTACTGTTTTGTTGGATATGCTTTTTAATTCTACGTTGTTTTATTGAATCGAATTGTTCAACTTCGATTGGCATATTGGCTTCTATGTAGAGATGCCTCGATATTGCCTAGATATTTATTGTGATGATTAGTATAGGAATTGAGACTCATCAGCTTGATGTATCTGCATCCCAGCATGAAATTATGTATCCATTACTTCAAATGCCAAAGCGTTATACACTAGGTCACTAGGGGATTATATTAAGATTAAGATAGACCTTTATAATTAGTAAAGTATGTCCGCTAAAGAACTTGAAATCCCTGGAATATAAAGATAGTGAAGAAAATTTTCTTTGCTAAAGTTATATCTTGATGTATATGATTTTAATCTTACTTTTCTCGAAGGAAACAGTTTAGTGTTTATAAAGAGAGAGGCGGTGAACATTATTCTTGTTATTTACTGAAGCTAGTTTGCTGCCAATGTCCAGTATTTTCTCCACTTCTCTCCTTTTGTGTGATATACCTTATGTGTCAGTTAAAGGATTGCTCTTGATTGAATAGTTTTATTTATCTATATCAAAATTAACCAATAGTCTTTCTCAATGAACTATTGTGTTAACTTTTAGCCTCAAGTGTAACAATACTTGTGCCAACAGCTTCTGTGGTATTGATGATAATGTTGTAGAAAGCAAAATAGAGTATTGCTTATTTTAGAGCAAGTTTTTCCTTTAATCTTTGTTAGTCATCTTGTTGACTTTCGATAAAAATCTTCGCCTTTTTTTTAACGTGATTACATAAGGAAGATGAAACGTTCTGGATAACTAAGCTAGTACTTTACGATTTATTAATTCCTTTACATATTACCTATTGTTTGTTATTCTTTTCTTTGTTGATTTTTTCTGGTCTACTAAAAGAGGAGGACTGTGTTATTTTGCTTAAAGCTTTGAAAGTTGCCAATAGGGTTGATTGACTGATTCAATTGATAAATGTTGTAGTTGATAGGGATTTATATTCTAATCTAGTCATTTTATCTCATCTTGACTACCCATTTTCTTTGTGTATCTCCCTAAGGAGACCTAGTAGCAATAACATGAAACCTGTACACTTGTGTACTACTAAATATAACAATTCAACTGTGTCTGCCTTATCTAGTACGCATCTTATGTTGGGAAAAAGGTGTTAGAATAGAACTCATATATCAACTTTATAATATTTTAACCTTATAATTTTCCTAATTATTAGTATTGTTTGCATAATTTAAATTGTCATGATGAAATACTCTTCGAAGTGGAATAGAGGTGTGCTACTGAAGCTCTATATTCCACTAGGAACCCAATAGAAAAACAATAATAATGATAATAATGCTCTTTGAAATGTTGTAAAGGAAATTGCATCAAAAAATAATTGATAGGTAGTGGTTAGTAATGGGATCCAGGATGCGTCTTACGTTCTAACCTTCATGTCATCTTCAATAACCGTCACCCAATATGTTGACTTCGGAATGATACAGACGCCTGTGTGAGTGAGTATATGTGTGTATGCTTGATAAAGAAGTTAGCTTGGCTTGAGTTTTGTAAACCTAGTTAAAATAAGTATTGAGAGGGGAGAAGATTCACTTGAAGTGCAATTTCATATCATCAACAATGAAACATACCTCTCAGTGAGTGATGTTGTTCTCACTAGGATTCGAACTTCCGACCCAGCTTTTCAAACACCAGAGCGTTGTATCGAAAATTGTTTGAAACAAAGTGATTACTACTATTATTACCATTTACTACTGCACTTATAAGTATTAGAAAAAAGCAACAGCTTATTAATTATAAGTAGTGTCTGTCATGCGATTACTGTCATTATCTGGAGTGGAATAAAAAGTTGTTTCTAGAGATAAAAGGATTCTAACCCAATGCTTCAATGGTAACGTGCTGTTCGTGGAACCTGAAGGTCCCGGCTTCTATCATTGATGAGGTGGGGTCATGGGTGTGGATTACTGAGGAGTCCCGTACTAGGACGAAACTACTGTCCAGTCCTCCTAGATTTCCAATATTCCTCTAACTGATGGCAATTCATGATGAACTTCAACCGGAAATAAACTTAATAAATCTCCAGAAACCTCCAAATTGAAATCATTACTCTGTTCATCATAACGTTAATGAATGAAAATTATGTTTTTGAACAAAAAGATAAAGTTAAAGGTGAATTGTCAATGATACGGCAGTGTATAGATGATCTAGTTGAAGTCTTGTGGAATTTCCATAGATGACAAACTGTTTCTTTGGGTAACCAAAATATGGTAGACAGCATTCCAAAATGCATTAGTACGCTGTCTATAACCGATGTACGTTGCTCCAAATGAATAAATAAACTGAAGTAATAAAAAACCGTAGTCTCCTGCTTAACTCATTAATTGATCAGTTGCCTACTAGTGATAGTCATTCTCAAACCGACTGACAGGGTGGGGGGGGGGGGAAAGGATTTTTCTTCTTAAACATCGTTAAAACTGATTGTTGAGGATTTCAACTGTAATTTCGTCTTTGACTTCCAGTTTCTTATAGTGAATTGCAGAGCTTTAGTAAAAGAGAAACTGTCAAAAAGATATTTTCCTTCACTCCTTCCTTCTATGTATGTCAACTAAGTTGACATTATTATTATTATTATTTGTCCCTTAGCTTCCAAGTGGAAAATAGGGCTTCAGTAGCAGGTCTCCAGTTGACTCTGTTCTCTGCAGTCTTTTGAACCTGGCTCCACGACAGCCCAGAAGCTGAGTGCAGAAGATCTCCACACTGGTTTCAGGTTGATAAACGCCAGTCTCACTTTCCAATCCTGGTTCTGACGTCCTCGTCCGTGCCACCTGTAGTTGAAACACTGCTGCCTAGATAGGTGAAAGAGACTACTTCCTTTAACTTTCTCCCGTTGATGTAGATTGAAGCTTGTTGTTGGTGTGTTGTTGGTTGGGCATCTTCATCGTCTCTGTCTTCTCTACATTCACTTGAAGTCCCGTCTTCCTTCACTGCCTGTCTCTTCTGTCAACTTGTTAGTTTTGGCCTGTAGTTCGTATGACATTAGACATAAGTCATCCTGGCGAAATCCAAATCCTCTAGGATGTTTTCCCCGGTCCAGCCAGTGTATCTCCCTCTTCTCGCTCCTCACTGTCGTCTGTTGCATGATCTAGTCCACCACAATCAGGAGTATCATGATTGATAGTAGACAGCCTTGTTTCACTCCTGTCTTCCCTTCCAATGCAAAGGCATCACTGAGCTAGCTTCCCATTGTGAATTACTCGTCTGGCATGTGGTGTCTTCATATAGTAGTTGAATGAGATTGATAAAGGTTTGTGGTATTCGTAGTGTTGAAGCAGTTGCCAAATTACTTGTCGGTTGACGCTGTCGAAGGCCTTTTCAAAGTCGATGAAGTTGAGGTAGAGTTGAGTTGACTCTCATTCTATGCTCTGTTCTATGATGATGCGTAGTGTAGAGTTGGAATTTGATCCGCACATGATTTGTACAACTAAGTTGACATACAATATTGTAATCGATATGGCTAACTGATTGAAAATAGACTAGGTAAGCTGAATAAGCTACAAATTCACTGAGTTTATAATAATAACCTTCAGTTGATGATAATGATGATGATAACAGTTAATAAGGTATCTCTTTAAAGTACTAGTTAATAATAAATAACTTTCAGAATAGATGAATTAGTCTCTGATATGCATTATATTATCGGTTATTGATACTATCATCCAGTTAACTTAACCAACACACTTAATGTTGGCATGATTATAATATAGCTCATTTCTCTAGGTGAACACTTATTACTATTGATTCCCCCCCTTTTTTTGTTAATCTCTTCTATACTACCTAATAGTCTGTATCATTGAAGCACTTGCTTCAGATCAATCTAAATTAGAAGATTTACAGTTGAGTCAAGGTCTACAAGGTATGTCAATTTTCTTTGTAATTTCTCTTTTTCGTATTTATTATTATTATTATTATAAGTAGTAGTAGTATTAGTAATATGGCATTCCAACTTTTTTTTCCAACGTGTGGTTTGGATGTTTAAGTATGAATCAACAGTTACTGAGCAAATATAACTATGCATTTCCTACATATTTCACACATCATTACATCACGTTTTGCTTTACCAGGATTATTTTCCATTCATGATATTCTACACGTTCAGTTCTAATAGTACCTTGATCAGGTAGAATGTATTACTTAATCAAATCAACTGTATAGGTAGGTAGCTGACTTTTTTTATATACTCAGTCACATCACTGTTAGATCATCTGATTTACTCAAATGTAAGCTCAAATGATAAATTGCTGTTTATCAACAGTTTTCTTCAATAATTGAAGCATCTTTTTGAGATGAATGGGGATTTTTAATTTAGAAGTAGTATTCACCATGGATTGACATCAGTTGAGGGAACCATTGAAAATCTGGAAGCACTGGGCAGTTGTTTCGTCCTAGTATGGGACTCCTCAGCAGTACTCACCCACGACCCAGCTAGAGATTGAACTCAAAACCTTCAGGTTTCACGTTGAACGCGTTAACCATTCAGCCACTGGGTTGGGTTTTCAGTGGTTCACAGTTTCCAACTTCCGTCAATTCATGATATAGCGTGTCTATCACTCAAGGTCTTCAGTTAGCGTCCACTTCACTTCCGACTTCCGTGAAACCTGAAGGTCCTGAGTTCGATCCGTAGTCTGATCGTGGGTGCGTACTGCTGAAGAGTTCCATACTAGGACAAAACAACTTCTAAATTGAAGCGTCCATCTTAAATCTACTGTTATCCAGTTAAAGAATATAATTCACCTTACAAGCTAGCTAGTAGTGAGCTTAATTTATCATTCAAGTTTATCTATCTATTCACCCTCAACTTGTGTAAATACATTCACAGAATGAATGAACAGTAGATTTATTTAAAAAGGTATTCATGAAAAATGGTTATTTATTTCTCATCATAGCTGTTGTAAGCAAGGCGTATTGATAGAGATGACGCAAAAGTGCAATTAATGAATCTTGTCGTCGAATAACAGACTTCAAAACATCATCGTGGATCCCTACCTCATTAAATTGCTAAAATTCATAAATAAACTGTAAAACTAAATGTTTAATACTTACATTCATTCATCTTTACTTTTATTTTGTAACAGAATTTTAATTAAACATATGCCGTTGTTTCATACTTGCAATTTCTTGTTGCTATACCTCTGTTGACAGATGAACTCTTATGTGAATGCTTCGATACAGCTCGGCTATTTATAATATTGTATTCATCATCATCAAATTGGCAACAGAGGTCGAGCAACTTGATCCTGTATAACAATTAGAAATTACAAGTTAAAATAAGCCGCAAGAGGTGATTCTCATGTCCAGTGATCTAGTGAATAACGCCTTAGCGTTTGAAGCGACAGGTGCTTACTGGGAATACCATTGGGGTGGGGGGGGGGGGGAGCAACATCACTCACTAAAATACAGGTAATCCAGCTAACGACTCCCAGGCTAGACGAAATGCGCTTCCTGCACTACACTACTGGTTACCAAGATAAACACAACATGCACCCTGTTGTCAGTAATGCTATAGAAAACTTGTGACGACCGTTAGCTATGTAATTACAGCGAACGCTTTTAAAATCCTTCACTTACCTGAGAAGTGAGATTAGCCGTGGTGACTTATTGAGGGGCCGATGAAATCTCTGCACGAATACAATAGGCTCGATTTACTTTGGCCAATTCTCCATCTGTGGCGTCACCGCGTTATCCGCTTGTCTACCAAGGGTAGCGTGTACTACACAACAGTCCGCTCTGTTCTACTGTATGACTGTGAAACGTGACCATTGAAGGTGGGAAATATGAGCAAGCTTCAAGTGTTTGACCACCGTTGCCTTCGTCGTTTAGGCCGTATTCCATGGTGTCACCACGTGAGTAATGCAGAAGTCAGGTGTAGAATTTTAGGGAAAGGAGGTAAATCAGTTGACACAGTTGTGAACCTTCATCGACTGAGATGGCTTGGACAGGACATGTGTTACGTACGCCTAGTCGCCGTTCGCCTCGTCACACAATGTTGGACAGAGTAGATTCAGGTTAGAGAAGGCTCGAGGTAGCCAGACTAAAGGATAGCATCAATGTATGAAGTCTATGACTGTTAGTATGAACCATGTGGGGCGATACAGTCTAACCGCTTGGGGTCCGTGACACAAGAGAAACCAGTGGTTGGAGACTCTCTGTGGTATGGCTGAGAACCGATGTGAGTGGTGCAGATGTATACACATACTCATTATCGTCATGTTAACGACGCCATACCGAATCTCACCATTTTGTCATTCTTCCTTTCTCTTTTTTTGTACTTTATATTCTTTTTGACTGAATTTTCTTTTCTTCGTCTTCCACTTGACTGCCTTTTTACTTGATGTAGTGATATGAGGTGTGTCAACTTGGACTGTGACGTAGTAATGCCTAGTCCTATGTTGATCTTGATGATGATGAAATACTCATCATCAAATTGCCAACAGAGGTCGACCGACTCGACCTTGTATAACAACGGGAAATTATAAGTAATGATTAGCCACAGCTTATACCCACTGCCCAATAGGTGGTTCTTGTGCCCAGTGACTTACTGCATAACGCTTTAACGCTTGAAGCAATGGTTACCGGGTCCAAGTCCCATTAGAGGGAAGCAACATAATTCGCTGGGATCCAGGTAAATCCAGCTGACGAGTCACAAATAGGACGAAGCGCCTGTCGTGGTTTCTCCTTCTAGTCACCAAGATGAATACAACACCAGTTCTGTTATCAGTCAGTGTATAGATTTCATTGTGCATTTTCAATACAACTGGCCTTATCTATTGCTCAGACCAATACGATTACTCTTTGAGACTTTTGTTTGTTCGAAAGATATTCTTATACTTAATCCAATTTTTTTTTGGATAGCTAACCGCCTCTGTGTGACAGATAGACAAAATTAACGTAAAATCAAAGAATGAATACGTCTGCGCTATTTTGACCAACTGTCAGACATGTCACCATGTGTCCTCAGCCATTGATTCCTTTCACTTCGGGGACCCTAAATATCTAATCCATATCTCCTCACACAATTCATACCAACAGTAGGAGACTTCTTACAATGGTGCCAAGTCTTGGTGTAGCTGACCTAAACTCTTTTCAACCTAATCTGGCCTCAAAGTAGGCAGTGGCTCTGCATACTCACGAACATGTTCAAGGCATTTCAGTCGGTGAAAGTTCATAACCTCATTAATCGACTTATTTGTCTTGCCTAATACCCTTCACCTTATCTTCACTACCAAATGACAATATCTCGCATCATACATACTTTAATATGTTTTAACTTCATGATTTTTTCTTCAACTCTCCTATGTATGAAATCTTATGTTCATTGAACCTTAATTTAATTAGCCTTCACCTGTCCAATCCTGAGTGACAGTTAAATATATTGTGAATACAATGATAATACATCGAAGTCTATTGTCTTTACTTACAGTTAATGAGTTTATATTATCGAACAACTTCAAGTTTTTATCCAACTAGAAACTAATACTTTTTCAGTTGTCAAAGCATTCAACATATATCATTTGACTATGTGAGATAGCCATAGTTTGGCAGATTAATATTTGTGCTAGATGATGATTTGAAGGTGAGATGAAAATCTTGATTGCAGCCGGATTCGAACCAGCGACCACTGAGTTATCAGCTTGATATTCTAATCAATTGAGCTATGAGGTCCGGACATGGTTCAAATGTTGGACCTCGTAGCCAAGTTGGTAGAACATTAGAACGTGGGGAACTCGATGATCGCTGGATCAAAACCGGTAGCAGTCAAGATTTTCATCTCACCTTCAATTATCACTCAGTATAAATTCAACGTATAGTTTCTTTAGAGATGTTAAATAAACCTTTTATGTTATTCAATACCTTCAGCTTTATCATCATTCACTGGATTATTATGCAGAAAATATCAATTCGATTTGGCAGGATTATTACAGTATGTTTTAAATCAACTCAAAGTTGGTAAAAGGTAAGTCGATGTCTTTATCTATCTGATTTGGTTATTTCAACTGCTTATCTCTTTATAAATGTTTCGCTTAAGGGAATTTTATTAATGTTGGCTAACAGTGAAGTCCAAAATGTACATTTCATCCTATTTAAGACTCATCAGCTGAATTGTATTCTTATTGAAATAAGAAATCAGCACGGACTGCTTCAAACACTAGATCATTATCAATTAGAATACTGAGTCACGAGAATCATGTCTTGTTCAACGGTTACTAGTTGTTGTTATTTATTAATACTTTCACTTTCCAGTTGACTGTTATATATTAGAACGAATTGACCTGTGTCAATTGATTGATATGTAAGTTCCTATGGGTGTATGATTTTAGACATTGCCTGAATATTAATTATGACAAGTTTTTATGGGAAATTGAATAGTTTCAGAGCATTCCTCGAGGGACCGACGCTACTGAGGAGTCTAAAGCTGAGGTGAAGCAATTATCGTGTGATTATTGTTTAGGAGCGTAGCATTACTGTTTCATCGATGATTGGTAAGTTATTCAGTGTGGATAATATTCGGATTAGTGATGTATCTGCTTATCCAATGGGAACGTGATAATCAAAAGTGGTTACTATAAAATGGTGCAGCTATCAGCCATTAGATCATGACTTGAATCTCGCTTGGTTGCTATTGAGCTTTGGACGACTTTGTAGTACTATTAGCTCTCATATGTGACTCGTCGGCTTGAGTACTTTCCGGAAAGTCATTGCTGAATTGCATTTTCACTTTCATTCTACTTATATATAGGCTAAAGTAGAATGTTAGTTATCCCAGTCAACATTTTCACCGGGGAAAATGGAAGAAGGGATGGCCTCATCATCAATATCAACATAGGACCAGGCATTACTGCATTACTCATGTGGTGACACCACGGAATACGGCCTATACTACAAAGGCAATGGTGGTCAAACACTTGAAGTCTTCTCATGTCTTCCAACTTCAATGGCCATGTTTCACAGCCATACAGTAGAACAGAACGGACTGCTGTGTAGTACATGGAACCCTTAATAGACAAACGGATATCATAGCGGTGCTACAGGTAGCATAGGTTGTCAAAAGCCAACTGAGCCTTTTGTATTCGTGAAGAAATTCCATCGGCCACTGAGCTAGCCACCAGGGCTGATGCTTCTTCCTAGGTAAAGTGAAGTGGTCGACACACTGAATCACTACTACACTCTCTATTGTTAGCCGCGGTGGGACACCGTTGAAGACCAATCGTGGAGCAACAATTTGCATTTGGGTGGCGAGAAACGCATCCCAAACATTCTCAAATTCGCACTCAAAGTGTTCAGAAAACTCTGCATCTTGTCAGCGTCTTCACCTAACAGGACTGTGTCATCTGCATACTCTAGGTCTACCGAGAATTCTCCTGAGATTAGGTCAACGTCTGTGTAACCTGGCGACAAGAGGGAGACCTCCATAAGAATATCTATGATGAAATTGAGTAAGAATGGAGACAGTAGGCATCCTTGACGGACACCACTCGATGAGCATAGCTCCCTGGACATCTCACCATAGAGTCTAACACGCCCACAAGTGTTCGAGTAGAGAGCCTTCATTAAGGTGATATACTTGCTCAGCATGCCTTTCAGTGAGAGATATTGCCATAAGACTTCTCGGTCAACGGAGTCGAATGCCGCCTTCAGAGGATGGCCTATGGGAAAACTATGAGTTCGTTAAGTATATTTATGTCTACGCACTTCTGATTGACTTTGAAACTCACAGTCAATTGATTTGATGAAGTGTTCGAACCATAGACAGACTATCTTTTTTGATCGCTAGACTGGAAAATTCAAATAGTATAACACAAGTAATCAACAGAAGTGTTATTCTTGTTCAAGTATATCAGGAAAGTTTATCTGTTTTTCAAGTAATATGAACCTACATCATACATCTTGACAACTTGTACAGTTCATTACTTGAAAACATGAAACAATTTCAGTATCCCTTTCACAGTCTAATGAATTCATCAGAAACATGAAACTTCGTGTCGAATCATGATGTTGTGAATTTTTTTAACAAGTGGATCATATAGGCAGTTAGGTTACAGTGATTATTGATATTGATCTTTGAGATTGATAGATAGATAGGCTGTGAAAACTCCTAGTTATTTTAATTCACCTATCAGCTACATGTTCTTTTTGTATTTTTATGAAAGATATATTAAAATGGAGAAATAAAGAAACTAGATTTCTGTGTATCGCATTTTCTCTTCTTTGAAAAAACCAACAACGAAACATTCACGCATATACATATTAAAGTCTAGTGAATACAAGTATCTGTTACATTCCATCCTCTCTCTCTCCCCCCCCCTCTCTCTGTAGCTTTTTCACTCAATTCTAAGCTCCTTGTCATTGATGTATAGTACAAATAAGCAAATATGGAATGCATTTGTACATTGCATAGTACTCCACCTTAGGGTTATTTTGAGGGAGTTGTGAAGATTTGGAAATATTTCAAGTTGTTATTCATCGTAGACTGACATCAGCTGGAGGAACAAAGGAAACTCTCGAAATTCAATTGAACTGGTGCTCATTGGTGACTAGCTTCGAGAAGTATTCCTGAAGTTCTAATGAGAAGTCGTGACCGGTGGAGTCAAGCCTGATGGTCGTGAGGACAGTTACTCAACGATGACATTGGGTGGCGGTTGCGCTATATCGTGAGCTAACAAAAGTTGGAAATATAGAGCATTGGATTCTGAGCCAGTGGCTCAATGGCAACGCGCTGCTGAGGAGTCCCATACTAGAATGAAACAGCTGTCCAGTGCTCCCAGGTTTCCTTTGTTCCTCCAACTGATGTCAGTCTACGGTGAATAACAACTTGAAAAGTATCAATTGTTGATGAATAGGTATGGAAGCCAGCAAATGTCTCAACACATAGCTGTCTTTTCATTCAATCCTTCTACAACTGAAATCACTTTATGATGAATAGTAGGTCTCTACGAGCCACCAATTCAATGAAACTAAGTATAAAGTGTTCAGAATTTATGATAACAAGCAAACAGTTGATACGATAGCACTTTCCTTAGAAGTCTGTGTTATATATCTTAAGATCGTATACTTCACATCAGCACAGAAAGAGAGTAATGGAACAGAAATTCAATGACATTCTGATAAGCAGAAAAGAGTACAAAGGTAGACAATGAATAAATAAATAAATATAGATGAATAAAGATGTTCGAATCCTTAAAATTAAATAATATGGAATACTTTTGCATTGTTCAGATTGTTTTGGAGGCATTTTATAGCAGACAGATAAACAAAGGTAATGTAGAACCTCGCACATAGATGCATCTTTTCAAGTTATCACAATTCCAATTAGTGTATGCAAAGAACAAGTGGATAGGGAATGATTGATTATCAAGTAGAGGAGGAGAAAGAATTTGAAACTTGAAGGTAAATCAAAGAGTGAATACATCTACGTCATTGTGGCCGATTTTCAATGATTTCACTAACAGTCCTCAACTATTGACTCTTATAGTCTTGGGAACCACAGCCAGATAGTCTATATTTCCCTACATAACACATACCCACAGTTTTTTTCCTGAGTACCCAGAGTCTTCTTCTCCTAACAAGGATAACGCATTTCTGAGTCACTTGAGTTACTGAAGGTTCATAACCTCATCGACTGACTTTCTTTCTCCTGACCTTGACATTGTTAATATGCTACGTAGAAACCTTTAGTTTTTTCACATCGCGTTTACTTTGTGACCGTGTGTTACAGCCGGTTAATAGGAAGGGGGAAAATACAAAGTAATATAGGGATATGATATTTCGACTATCGGTCGCAAATTAGCAAATATAAAAACTGACCTTCTGTATTCGAGCCTGAATTTCGTCAGCAACCAATCCACTCAGGTGGCTGCAACTACCTCAAGTAAGTGAAGCAATCAACACATTCTGCCTTTTACTCCCTACTTTCAAACTGAGAGTAGCTGCAAGCCAGTCTTGAAGCATCATCTCACATCTGTAGATGCTAAACGTATACCAAACATACTCGGATTTGTTTTGCCGAAGGTCTACAGAAGACCTGCATTTTTTTTCAGCATCTTTGTTTAACAGGACAATATCTTCCTTTTTTAAGTTGGTATTCATCATGGACTGACATCACTTGGGGAGAACATTGGAAACCTGGAAGTACTCGACAGCTATGTGCACCCATGACCCCACCCCGCCAGGGATCGAACCCAGAACCTTAAGGCTCCGTGACCATTTAACTACTGAGTTGGAATCCAATATTAGCGTGACCATCACCCAATGTCATCGTTGAGTATTTGTCCTCACATCCATCAGGTTTACCCTACCATTCACGACTTCTCATTGGGACTTAAGGAATCACGTCTTGAAGCTAGTCACCAATGAGCACTGGACTGATTCGATTTGGGGATGGGGGTGGGGATTTATTGATTGATTTCAAGTTAGTATTTATTGTGGACCGATATCAGTTGGAGGAACATTGTTCCTTATCGGGGTCATGGGTGTGCACTGCTGAGGAGTCCCATACTAGGACGAAACAGCCGTCCAGCGCTCCCAGGTTTCCAATGTTCCTCCAACTTATGTCAGTTCATGATGAAAACCAATTTGAAATCAATCACTTACCTTGTTTTTCGCCAGTTGATTTCAACTGAATATATTGATATTTACACATTGTCAATATACTTGTATTTTATTCGAAATAATATAGTTATGACTTGGCAATATTACGTGAAATTCTACATCGTATGTCTGGTATTGACATCTCTGAAGAAATGACAGATGAACAATTGGAATCAATGTCTGGTGGAGAGTTGCTACTGCAAGAAGGTGGTTATTATGCACAGATACGTAATACACGTCGTAATGCAGCACGTCTTAAAGAAGCATTGCTTGAACATAATCTGATTATGCCGTTTATATTTCTAATGGCTCAACAACGTGATGCTATAATATTCTTAGATGATCCTGAGCGTCATTGTAAACTGGCTGGACGTTTGTATGATCAGGTTAGTGTTTTTATCTTTTTTTGTTGTTGGCGAAAATATATTAATGTTAGTTGGATGGAGGTGGCAATCGATGGAAAGCTTCGCTTTACTTGGATTGCGTGCTTTATAGCATTCATCAGCAAGGCGTGACCTTTATGGAACTGATGTCCCGCCTGAGATTTGAAACTCATCAGTTTAATGTATCTGTATCTCAGTGTGACTGAAACTCAGCACCCATCGCTTCAAGCGCCATAACATTGTTCATTTGACTCCCGAGAGCTATCTGTTGTGCAACGGGTATCAGTTGTTGTTACTTATTGATACTTGTACTTCTCGTTTGATTATTTTGGATTGAATTTATTGCTATCGGTTGGTGGCGTATGGGTTCCTTACGTGCATGCCTTACTATTTATTACCTGAAGATTTATTGTACTATTATTTACTTGGTTAAGGCTAGCAGATAGCGAATCGAAGGAAAGGCGTGTCCTGGATTTTCGCTGCGATAGGTAATGCAACCTAGCAGTCTGCGATCTATATAAACTTAACGCACAAAGAATCTACTCTAATTGCTCATCAGAACGTTAGTTACCACAACAACAATATCCCCGGCACACGAAAATATGAGAAGACGGACCATTGGCAGGGAGCTTTCATTGTCTCAACAAAATTCAAACCAATTGAGAGCGATTTTGAATATATACAGTGTAACCGACCTTGACAAACACTAAATTCACTGACAAGTTAAAAGAGTCGACAACCAATGAGAGTCCAGCCTTCAGATGCAGTGGGAAATACAAAAGCTTGAAACGGTGCCAAGAGAGCGCGAAAACAGCATGAATAAAGTTATTTCAAGGTTATAGGCCAAATTTGGGGTCTAAGGTAAATCACTCTTGCACCAGTAAATATTATGCATATTGTTACTCCTATATACACAAGAAGGATTTCCAACAAACTACAGACATCAACAACTGCCTACGCTGGCTCGATACTGAAGATCAGATGGCCAGAAAGAATAAGCGACAAGGAACTCTGGCTGACTGGCAACGAACCAACCAAGAACCTATCGCTCAACAAATATTCAGAAGGCAGTGGAGACGGATTCGGCATACACTGAGAAGACCATTCGAGGGCATCACGCGCACGCCCTCGAGTGGAACCAAGATGGGATACAACGAGTTGGGCGTCCTAGTGAGGGTGACATGGAGGAGATCGTGCGAGGAAGAAATGAGCGGTTGTGGGCAATCGTGGAGCGGGGTTGAAAAGATTGCAGAGATGAGAGTAGGATGGAGACGTGCTACTGAAGCTGTATGTTCCACTAGGAACCCAAGGGATAAATAATAATATACACAAGAAAGAGTCAACTGATATTAAAGTTGTAAGGCGAAATAGTGTATGCCTAATAGCTCTTTGTTTTTTTAGTGTGATATTTTGTTATTACGCCTTGCTGACTTAACAGTTGGTGTTTTTACACTGGTTGATGATTAAAGGTCAAATGAAAGTTTTGACCGCGGCCGGATTCGAAGCAGCGATCACCGAGTTCGTCGCCCCGATGTTCTACCGACTGAGCTACAAAGTTCAAAATCTGGACTGCGGCCGGACCTCATAGTTCGGTCGGTAAAACATCGGGCGGGTAACCCATTGGTCGCTGGTTCAAACCTGGTCGTTTCATTTCACCTTCAATCACCCCCCAGTATAAATACTAGTCTGCGAAACTTGGCTCAGATGAGGCAATAATATCCAAATAACAATCTCGTGACAGACACATTCACAGAGTTTCATAATAGTTCTATAAGTTGATTTCTAACGGATGATATTTTTCTGACAAATAGCAGGCGTGATAATTATTTTGCAAAGCAAAGTTTGTGGATTGCGTCTGTTTTGCTTAGCACTGGCCCCGTCAGTGTTATTATGATCCATATATGAGTTGTAGTATGATTCCATGATTCCATACATAATATTGCACACAGTGTACACATGGCCATAAGCCTTAGTCGCACCTACACACTCACCGAGACACACACACAGATGTACATATTTGAACTGGACCAGGTCAATTGTGTTTTGTACTGCGTTTAGACGACAGTTTGTAATATATGAGTTTTCGTCGAAACAGTAAACTAAAATCAACAGTCTTTGTACACATCCATTTTTCGGAGCTGTAGCTCAGCGTTTAACAAGCAAGTGAGTCACGGGTTTGGACCCCATTCTAACTTTTAAGGTAGGGCAGCCAGTTAGTATCATTCAGCCTCACACAAAAGGTATAGCTCATTGCCTACTACACAAATAAGCGTGTGATTGTTGAGTGCATTTCGATTTCAATTCGACAACCAGCTAAAAATCCGCATATAGTTACTTGTGTGTCTTCACACTGTACTAAATCCGTGATATACTGTGGGATTTTGCCGCTCTTGAGTGAATACCAAAGGATTTAAAAGTGGACAACCAAGTTGTATGTGCCTGTACGGTCGTTCTAGGGAACGAATTACTGAGAAGATATCATCGACTATAGATGATGAGTTTATGCACTATTTTGCTGATCATTTCTATTGAACTAATGGGAATTATTTTATATATTGTCTTCTCACACCATTTGCTAATCGTGAGCACCGGTACAAAAAAGCTGCCCTGCTCACCTTTTATTTGGTGTTTTATGACCTAATTTTCCTAGCTTTATACTTTGAAATCTATTTACTTTACTCAATATCCAGTGGGATGAACCTAATGCTTTTTTGTGAATTCTCAAACTAGAATTCCTTAATAATTCTACAGCGGTTCATACATTGATTTAAGGACCATATTAGGAGACCATTTGATGGCATATTTACGTCCATGTCAAAGTTTAGGTGGTGTAATGTTTCGTAGGCACATTGATGAGAGCACCTTTTAACGTAAGTACTTTTATTTTAAGCAGGAAAACTGTCGTCGAAAACCTAGACAATGTCTTGAATATTGTTAAAAACTATTTTAGTGCGATTCAAGTCCTTTGGTAGTTGCTCAAGGATAACGAATTTCTACAGTTCCACTTGTTGTAATGCTCTCAAACTAAACTGTAGGTGGTAACTATCATGTTATAATGAGGTCTATAATCATGATGCAACTCGTTTATACTGGCAATATTCCATTCTGTTATTCAGTTACATTCTGATGAGCCTTACTGACGAGTACCGACAAGCTGAAAACTGTTATCGGCGGTCTTCCTATCGTACACACTTATCTAAAATGTGATTTATTTCGCTTCATCTCAGCGTCTCTTCAAGGTTAGATTACTGCTATAGTGTTCGATAAGACTAGTGAGATCATAATAAGAAGCCGGAAATTCTCAAAAAGAAACTACGTGTAAATATCAGATTGGTTGTAGAGTCAAAATCAGTTGAATATAACCTTCTAAAAGGGTCCAGCAATTGTCATGGCTATTATATATAAAGGTTTTTAAAAATCATAACGTGATTGAGGCTTAGAAAAATTATCACACTCCACTGTAAAAAATCTTAACCTCTTCTAAATAGGATAGTAGATTTTAACGTCACCACTTCATGATATAGTATAAGTTAACCTATGGCGTCAATGCATGTTATTACTCCTATTGTACAACTTTCCAGTTGAACTGGGAATAACTGCTTATCAAGCGGCTCAAATGAGGACGTCAAAACCAGGATCGGAAAGATAATAAGACAGGCCTTCCTGCATTAATCTGAAATAATCAGTATGGAGATTTACTTCACTCCCCTGCACCCAGTATAATGCGTGAACAAGATCCGGATTCTCAACACTAATTCCGTCAAGTAAGTCAGTGCTTCTGTATGGTGGTTGAGAGACTTGGCGCATTTCGAACAAATTGCACATATGTATGAACAGCTGTCGTCTACTCTCACTCGATACTGACACTGAAGATGGAGATGAGATGACCAGAATAGGATAATGAGAATAAGCAAGGAGTAACTGTGGCTGAGTGGAAACGAACCAACTGAGAAGGTATTGCCCAACAAATATGGAGAAGCATAGTGTGGAGATGGATTGGGTATGGATGGACTGAGAAGAGGGTTTGTGGACATCACGTGTCAGACCAGGCCAGGCCATCGAGTGGAATCTAAGGGGGAAACGATGAGTTGCGTTGGAGCCGAAGTTGACATGAAGGAGATTGTGTGAGGAAGGAATGAAAGCTTGTGGTCAGTTGTGGAGGCAGGTTGAAAAGACTGGAGAGAAGAGGGTGAAATGGTGACGTGCTATTGAAGCCCTATGTTCCACTAGGAACCTAAAAGACAGATAGTAACGAGAAATAGTAATATCGCTATCAGCCAACTAGTTGCTCATGTCTATAGTTATCTATTGTGTGTGTATTGAATAGGACATGTTTTCGTGTGATTTTTGACGGAGAAGCTTCTAATACCTCTTCTATCATTACTATTACCTCAGTTTTTAGCTGTTCATTACAAGTTGAGCTCATTGGTGATTGGTTGTTCAACTTATTCCCCAATAGAGTTACATGTTCACACTTGATCTGTCGAATGAAGTCTGGGCAGTGGAGTAGAGGAACTATTGACCATCTCATTTAATATTTGACTTATAGAGTATGATTACACTTTTCTTTGGTGTTGTCTATTTAACTATGGAGCATTGAACTCTGACCAAGTGGCTGAATGATTAGTGTGTTTCCTCATGCCAGCTGAAGGTCGTGGGTTCGTGGTGTTCGTACTGCTAAAGTGTCGTATACCAGGGTGAAACAGTTGTCCATTACTCCCAAGTTTTTAATAGTTCTTTGATTGGTGTCAATTCCTCTACTTAAAACAAAAAAATTAAAATAATTTTTCCTGTTTTCTTTTACTTTATAACATCATCATCATCATCATTATCATCAGTGTCAGGGTACACTTGTTCAATTCATCACATTTTTAAGTCTTCAATTAAGTCGTGATGAAATGCAAACTCAGTGTTTAAGCATTGAGAGAATGATGGGTGAATTTCATGTACCAGCAGATACAGCATTCTGTTTTCATCGTAATTTATTTGAACAAAAAGTTGCTGTAAGTTATCATTACTATGCATTTGTCTTATTTAAATGGTAAAGTTTGTTTGATCTATTTCTTTCTACTGATGTTGACTCATGGTATTATTAGGTGGTTGATGACATTCCATCCATCCAGATAAACGTAGGACCAAGGTATTACTGAGTAACGGTCCGAGTTGTCACACCTCAATATCAGTACATCAAGTAAAGAGGCAGTGATGCGTAAGATGGAGATAAGAAAATTCAGTCAAAAGAAATATAAAGTACGAAAAGAGAAAGTGGTGAGATTCGGTATAGCGCCGTTAAGATGACGACAATGTGTGTATACATCTGCGCCACTGACATCGGTTCTCAGCCATGATTCACCACCTAGAGTCTCCAACCACTGGTTCCTCTTGTCCCACCAACCCCAACCAATCAGTCTGCATTGCTTCATATTGTTCAAACCAACAGTCAAAGATTTCATACATTGATGCTATGTTCTAGTCTGGTCACCTCGGGTCATTTTCCAGCCTGGACCTACTTTAGCCAACATTGTGTGACAAGGCAATGGGCGTTCACCTAAACTTCATGCTCACTGATGCCTATCCGTAAGATACATCTACAACCTCAAGGGAACTGATATCTCTGGGGAGGGTTGAACCCCTGTCACTCAATGCTGTGTAGTCAGAGACGTTATTCAGACTATGATTGGCCTGCTGTGCGACTGAATCAGATGTATTGATTTGTCATCGGAGAGTAAGTGCTAATCGAATTCCATCAGTTATTTCGTAATATAGTCAACAACCTAGGAGGGCAATATCATCTTGAAACATCTAAAATGCCTTAGATTATTGAAGTCTTTTAACATCAATATCTTTCATAGAATATAAAACATTACTACGTTGCATACTGTGGAGAACTTACTGTCAAACGGGACATTTATAAAATGAACACCATTACTATCAAGAAAACTGGTTCCCTGTTATATTTTCGATTCTTCCAAGCAAACAATATTTACTCAGTTTATTAAATAATTCGGTATAGAGATCACAAGACTCCAAGCGAGCTATTAGACAAGGCGAGAGACAATCAATCTAACTTCTGCAATAATCAATCACACTAGAAGAACTTTAAAACAACATGGAACTACATTAATTATTGCCTTGCATCAAACATGTACTGCTGACATTCACGTTTAGTGTATTGTCCAGAATGACAATGAAACCTCCAAAATCTAAACTATATGCTTGAATGAATAATAGAAATTTGAATGCCAACTAATTCAGCCTGTATCGATAATACCTTGATACTCTATTTTCATCGAGTTAATCACAGCTTCTTACGTCATCCTGCCTACCAAGATCTGGGCAACCGAGCAGTAGCAGTTAGCCTTCACGTAAATGTGCACATGGCTAGTGAACTGTGAAATTCATTGTTGATTAGTATCGTTTTGTGTACGAGGAACAGAAAGCCTCGAATGTGTGCTTCTTGTTACTCTTTTAATCGATGATTAACGGCTCACTTAACTGACACTTTCCGCTAGATAACATGATCTTCATTGCTTAACAAGTATCCTATTAGTCCATGAAATATACTTCTACTAGAGTTCAACCATGTTTCAAACAGCTTCCTCTTGATACCCTTCATCATAGAGCTAAGTGATATTGGTACAAATCTCAATAGGCTGAATTTCATTTGAAACTGTGCAAATACACCGTTTTCACATATTCACAGTGAGTTGTTCTCTTATCCACTGATGAAGATGTCTAGCATGACATGGAAACGTTTGCCAATTAACACATCAGCTCAGAGAACAACGTACTCCGAATACTCATATCCTGAGCTACAAATATTCCCCACTGTTTTGATAAGTACAGTTTTCTATCGATTAAGTTCAATTTCAAAACCTAACTTCCACTGTTAAAGTTGTTATTACATCTTTAAAGTGAATTTAATGCTGAGTTGTGGAAATAACGTTTAGAGACCTGACAATATTGTATCAAATAACCAAGTTACTATCTGGGGAGAGATCAACGCAGATAAAATCAATAAAAGATGATGAAGGAAATTTAATTACCAACGAGGAGAAACAAAGGAAACGATGGGTCGACCACTTCAAAAAGCTGTTGAATCGACCACCACCTGAACTTCGTCCAGAAATACCACATTCAGTCACAGAACCACCAGTGAACACAAATCCTCCAACAAAAGTCGATTGGAACAGACTGGCTTCGGGAAGTACAAATCATGTGCGGATCAAATCGCAACGCTACGCTACACATCATCATAGAACAGAGTATACAATAGCAGTCAAATGTCTACCTCAACTTCATCGAATTTGAAAAAGCTTTCGACAGCATCAACCGAGAAATAATATGTCAGGCAACTGCTTCAATACTACGGAATACCACAAACCTTTATCAATCTCATTCAACAACTATATGAAGATGCCACATGCCAGACGAGTAATTCACAATGGGAAGCTAGCTCAGTGATGCTCTTGAAGTGAAGACAAGAGTAAAACAAGGTTGCCTACTATCACCTATGATATTCCTGATTATAGTCGACTGGATCATGCAATAGACGACAGTGAGGAGCTGTGAGAAGAGGGAGATACACTGGCTGGACTGCGAGAAAAGATCCTAGAAGATCTGGATTTCGCCAGTGATGACTTATGTTTAATGTCACACAAACTACAGACTAAAACTAACAAGTTGACTGAAGAGACAGGGCAGCCAAGGAAGACGGGAGAAACTTAAAGGAAGTAGCCTCTTTCACCCATCTAGACAACACTCTTTCAACTACAGGTGGCACAGACGAGGACATCAAAGCCAGCCAGGATCGGGAGACCAAGACAGGTGTTCATTAACCTGATACCAGTGTGCAGATCTTCTGCACTGTACTCAGCATAAAGCGTCAACAACATCCGGATTTTTAACACCGACGTCAAGTCAGTGCTTCTATGTGATGGTGGAGATACTTGGCGTGTTACGAAAGGCATTTGCAACAAACTACAGACATTCATCAACAACTGCCTACAATGACTCGTTATTGAAGCTCAGATGGCCAGAATAATGAGAATAAGCAACAGGGAACTCTGGTTGGCTGGCTGGCAACGAACCAACCAAGAACCTATCACTCAACAAATATGCAGAAGAAAGTGGAAGTGGAGATGGACTCAGCATACACTGAGAAGACCGACTGGAGACATCACGGACCAGGCCGGTCGCTCGAGTGGAACCCAGATGGGAAACGACGAGTTGGGCATCCGAGGTGAGGGTGACATGGAGGAGATGGTGTGAGGAAGAAATGAAAGCTTATGGGCATTGTTAGAGCGAGGTTGAAAAGATTGTGGAGAAGAGAGTGGAATGGAGACGTGCTACTGAAGCTCTATGTTCCATTAGGAACCCAATGCACAAATAATGATAACTAGAAAGCGAATACTTAATGTTATGTATCACATTCTACAGATAAACTGATCTATGCAGTCGATAATCTTGTTCCATATATTGGTTTATTTGTTTTCAGCGTTTATTTGAAAGCAAAGAACGAACAGAAAGTTTAAAATCCGGTGAGAAGTCGAAATCATTCAGCAAGGTCAGTATGGTTTCATCCTTACTGTTTGATGATGGGTTAGCTTTCAGAACTATTTTCTTACATAACTAAACTGCATTTTATTGTTTCCTTTATATGCATAATTATGTATAATGCCAATCCTTCGATTCACCAATATTAAACGAGTGTTCGTTTCTCCTAGGTGAATAATCTGAAAGTTGAAAAAGTCACAAGGTCAACAATATAGACAAAGTGATATGATTAGATCAACCATATCCAACACTTCTAGTAGTTTTCAATCTCTATGAATAGTAATATATTCAACATCAGATTATCATTACAACAGTGGTATATGCTAACTATACCAGGATTATACAATAAGCTCCCTCAAGTGTATATTGTACACTTTCTACAGAAATAGTGTTACGGTTTGTATTACACCGTCGTTGTGATAGGACCGAATTGATCGGTCTCTGTTGGCATATGGGCTCCTGTGCGGATGCCTCGATATTGCCCGCGTTCTTATTGTGTTAATGATGGATTGTGGCTAGCAGTGGAATCCAGGATGCGCATTTCGCTCTATTTGGGATTCGTTGGCTGGATGTACCTGCTTCCCAGCAAGTGCTGTTTCCACCGGGATTCGGACTCGATCACTTCAAACGCAAGAGCGTTATCCACTACACCACCGAGCCACGATAGCCACTTCTTGTGCGACGGTGGGAATAACATCACTCCGCACTGGGAAGCAGGTACATCCAGCCGAGGAGTACGAAATAGGACGAAATGCGCATACTGGATTCCACTGCTATTTCATAGAGTTAATTCCTGACTCTCATCATTCAGATATTACAGCACTACATCTTCACTACTACTCATGTCCAACCACTACCCCCTACGCGTACATCCTCAAGATGTCCATTCCTCTTCATTACCTACTTGTTGATCACAGTTAAGATATGAGACTTATGTCAGTGTTCCGGTAACACTGTTGGTCTGCAGTATGTAACAGCTGTGGTTCATAGGTTTCGCCTGTCAACTTTCACTCAGTGGGCTACGAACTCCAACTGTACTCCATCTACCGACCCTTCGATTACTATATTGTATCACACGGTAAGTGTGTCTCAACCATGACCATGCAAACATACTGTTCTTCACTTTATCATACATGAATATATACGCATGGTTGATACAACACCCGATTGCTAGAGACAGGTATGCTTTCTGGCTTAGTTACACCCTTTACATTCATCTTCAACATCATCATCCCACTAAAGGCAGCGAGCACAGCAACTTCGTTTTTGTGTTTGTGTGAACACTTTCAGGTATCTACTTGTTCTCTTCAGTAGTTGTGTTCAAATTGTTATTCTCTGAATGTGGACAATGTGTCGTGAACCTCTCAGGGTTTATTTGTATCCTCAGTCTTTTGTGCAGTGTTGTATGATGCACTTTGCATCATGATTAACCATCATCAAGTTGTTTGCATATACTTTTTTGATATTGTTTTGAAGCACATCATAGCACAACATTCACGTCTTATTCATTACAACTCTATACTATTTACTCCTGTTGTCATGTTATGTTTTCTCTTTACTTCAACTCTTCTCTAACAAACGTGAATCCTCCTTCTCTCTCTCTCTCCCTCTCCCTCTGCATAAATATTTCAATTCACTGTACAGTGTTATATTATCCATAGGATAGAAGTGTAATGATCAAAGGCAGATGTAGTTATCTTGTTGTTAACAATAAAAGAGAAGTATGTGAAGTGTTATTTCTTGTGAATGAGACAGCTTGAGCGCATTCTCCACTTGAATTGTCTTAATTCTCTCTGTGACAAAGATGATTGTCGAGTAGGTGTGTACACCTCTGTTTGTTCACACACTGGGAAATGCTGCTGCTGCTGCTGCATTTCTCAACTCAACTCACTTTCTTTCTTCACGTTATGTTAGGCATCGCGTGTCTTCATCATATTAACCAGCGCCTTTTTATGATCATGATTATCTTTGTGTGTTGTTTTTTTCCTTTTGATTACTCAGTTGGGAATAAGCAACAAGATAGTGGTGGTGAATAGAGAGGATGCTTATTCTAATCTCTCCTGCATATAATACACAATGTCAACACTTCTTACAGCTCTGCATGTTTCTGTCATTGTCTGTTAGTATCAAGGAGTAATTGTTGTCACATTGTCTACTCTATATGTATGTTTACATCCATGTATGTGTATATCATCTGAAGTAGGTCAAGTGTCGTTGGCAATGAAGATATGTTCCTGTAAAAAGTAATAAATTGAATATTATGCAGTAATGAGTGAATGTTTGATGAACTTACTGACTAGATCGTAATTTGCTTTGAGCAGGTGCTTGAAGTGTAGGTGAAGTGTTACTCACACTGCTGGCACCAACAATATTGGTGACTGCTGTTCCGATAGTTGAAGATGATCCAGATCCAGGTGTATGAGAAGAAGAATTGGACTTTGAGGTTTCTCCAGGTGCGACAGAAGCGTTTATTGTCTGCGAACGTGATCGCGTCTCTGAAAACAGTTGGAAGCAAAATAATGTTTAGTAATACGACCAAAGATAGGAAAAATGATGAACGGGTTGTGGGGAAGTTTTTTGATACTCTGGTACTCTCTGGAGATATTGTACTTCAACCTTATTGCAAGATGACATAAGTTCTATGTAAATTGATAAATTGTAAATCCTTCGTTTAAGTCAGCACGAAGGAGAATAAGCACAAGATGATTTTTTGTTGTGAATGATGATGATGATGATAGAAGTAGGAGGCAAGATATCATTGTAGGTTTTTGATTACGGGTGTCTTTGTAGCTTTGTTCTCATTTGATGGAATCACAGTGTGAACAATACTGAGGTCAAGCGAAGTCCACTTTGAAAGACAGGCAAGATGGTTGATTAAGCTGTAAACTGTCTTTGACTGTGATAACTGAAATATGCACTGAATATGCTGAGCTACAGTCTACCTCGACATGTGATGCTATGTGGGGAAGTTTTGATCGGGTTGGTAGAGTATTCAGGATGGCGAGACTAATACGTGGTACTAGTCGATACAGTCTCTCATTGCTGGTCTGACTCGTTTGGAGAGATGTGAACTGCCTGGTTGGTACCCATGAGACGAAAGGAGTCAATGGTTGACGACTCTTGGTGACATGCCTGGGAGATGGTGACTACGGTGTACATGTATTCACTTCACATCTGAAGCTCGAATATTTGCACTAACCGTTATCTTCATATTGTTTCTCTTCTGACATAACTTTGTCTACTTTGATATCACTTTTTTGTATCTTCTAGGTTGTTGTCTAGCACTGTGTAGTGTGACAACTTGAACCGAACCACTTTCTAATACGAGGTTCTGTGTTCAATCCATCTGTTTGTTTTATCCATAATCATTTTCATGATAATCGAATGATATTCTGTCTTATCGTATATACCTTGAACACATGTGTATCCTAGGACTTCGGCCTATGATCCTTTGGTGTAGAGAGTCGACCTTCATTCAGTGGGTCACCGGTTCGAATACTGCTCCATCTACTGAGGTTTTGTCAGCTAGGTAGGTATCATTAGCTATGGTACACTAGGTGTGGCTCACATATGTGCACAGGGTTGTTTAGTGTATTTCGATATCCTAGCTATCAGTATGTTATTTCATGTGATTTTCTCTGTGCATACTTCAAATGATTTTTACAATTTTTGTTGTTGTTGTCTATTCCTTATGATTTCAGACAATATTCTCAGCTGCCTCTTTACATGTCTGTAATGAGATTGCTTCTGCTATTCGTCCATTATATCCATCACGTGTTTGGGATGAATTGGGTATTGTATTTTTTGTGACCTTTTGGAGTCTACAGTCAAGTGATCTAGTTGTGCCTGAATCAGCTTATCAACGACAAGTTCAACAATTAAGAGAACAAATTCAACAGATTGAAACATCAGCAAGTGCATGGGTAATGTTTTCCTTTTATTTATTTTTTTTTTGTCTAATGATTGTTTTTATGTAGATTTTTTCTTGCTTGGTACAATATAAAATTAGTATATTTAATGAAAAGCCATAAATATGTATTCTGAGTATGTATACTGTTCTCTCAATACTGGCTAACACTAGGAGGCATTAACTCAAGGAATATTAGGGAATAAGCTTATATCTATCCCCCTCCCCCCCCCCCGTGTCATTCTCCATGTGCACACCCATTGGCATTGACTTATACTAACCAAGGTTAAGCTTTCAACTTTAATGATCTAGAAATAATTTACAGATTAGAATAATAATATTTGTTCATTTGAATCATAATTTTGTTTTCAACATGTATGGTTCTAAAGCAACTGGTCCCTTTGATAAATTTAAACAGCGTGATGAGAAGATGAAGATTATCTGAAACAAAGCTATGTACCATTGAAAAGTATACAGTGTTCCGTTGCTAAGAAAATGTCTACATCTCATTACCATTTAGAGGTGATTCACATAGCTTTGTTGTGAGGAAAAGTCTTAGATCGGCCATCTGTAAAACGTATTATGCAGCTAAGGTCATCATTGTAGAGAAGACCAAGTCCATGTTACAGCACAAACCTAAACAACATATAAACGATTACATCACATCCCACTGTGTTTATCAATTTACATGTATGTGTGGACACACAATATATATAGGGAGGAGTAATCGTGATATGCAGTTAAGGAAGGCTGAACATGTACCTAAGTGGCTACAAAAACGAATGACCTCAACAGATCCGATAAGTGCAGGTGACAAACATCCATCTTCGTCTATCGCTAAACATATACTAGAAACTAACCATAGGATGGAAAGCATGAAAACAACCTTTAAAGTACTACATAAAAGTGGTCAGAGCCGACTGCTTAAATTTATTGAAGCTCTTGCCATCCGTAAATTTAAACCCCCTTTATGTATACAAAAACAATTCGTACTCACGTTGAACCTACCTTGGTAGTATTGATTTTAATTTTCATACCAAGAATAAGGTTTTCCTTTTTTTCTATCCCTTCCTATTCCTATGTTTCCTATTAACTTCATTGACCTTTTCGTAAATTTTCATATAAATAGTTCGACAAGTCCATGTGTGATCAGATTGTTTGAAATGTATAGCGCTAATACATCACATGTATGGTTCTGTGATTTCTGTACTTGATTCGTAATTACTATTATATTATATATTATTATTTTTCCCTTGGGTTCCTAGTGGAACATAGGGCTTCAGTAGTACGCCTCCATTCCACTCTGTTCTCTCCAGTCTTTTGAACCTCGCTCCACCGATGCCCACATGCTTTCATTTCTTCCTGACATGATCTCCTCCATGTCACCCTCGCCGAAATCGTCGTTTCCCCCTTTAGATTTATCATCGAGGGCCTGACCTGGCACGTGATGTCCCCAGTCGGCCTTCTCAGTGTATGCCTTATCCAATCGATCTCCAGTTTCTTCCACCGCATATTTGTTGGGTGATAGGATCTTGCTTCGTTGGTTCTCTGCCAGGTCACAGTTCCTTGTTGTTTATTCCCATTATTCTGGCCATCTGATCTTCAGTGTCAGTATGGAGTGAGCGTAGATGGCAGCTGTTGATGTGATGTATGTCTGTAGTTTGTTGGAAATGCTTTTCGTGACTCGCCAAGTTTCTGAACCATATACCAAGCAGCACTGACTTGACTGAATTGGTGTTTAAAATCCGTATGTTGTTCATGATTTGTGCTGAGTGGAGTGGAGTAGATCTCCACAGTGATTTGAGATTAGTGAAAGGCTGTGTTGCTTTTCAGTTCCTGGCTGGTTTTGACATCCTCGTCTGTGTCTGTACCGCCGTCGCCTGTAGTTGAAACGATGCTGCCTGAGTACGTGTAGGCGAAAGAGACTACTTCCTAAGCATAGTTAATAATAATAATAATGCAATGTGTAGTATGAAAACATTAAATAAATGGATAATATTTTTTTAAGAACGTATTTCACCTTTGATAAATCAGTCATGAAGTAATCACGTTTACGTATAAATTAACTATCGACACTTAAAGATGACAACGAGATGCTAACTGGCAAACCACATCAGCATATCGATTTTTTTTCATTTTTGTAATAACATATAACAATTTGATGTCTTCAGTCTACCTGTGTTGCTCAAATCAATATTATTGTTCTAGTGGTTGAAGTCAAAGTCGATTTTCTCAATAAATTAACACTATTTGATAAAAACAATACTGAGAAGTGTCTCTGTCTTATCATGTTTTACGAATTCTTAGAAATGTCTACTATCATCTCTGAAAGTTAAGAACTCATACTACCCAACTATTGAATTTTATCTGTCAACGATACTCAATTTATGACACAGCTAGTGATGTTGGTCTACAATGACGTCGATGATCATCTATTGTCCTTGGCAACCTTCATAATATGAAGAATTCGCCCTGTACAATTTAAACTTTGATTCTGGAATATTTGAAAACTCCTAAATGCTGCTATATGATTCAGAGGCTTGGCACGTCACGAAAAGCACTTCCAACAAACTACACACATTCATAAACACCTGCCTATGCTGGCTCGATACTGAAGATCAGATGGCCAGAATAAACAGAATAAGCAACAAGGAACTGTGGCTGGCTGGCAACTAACTAAACAAGGACCTATCACTCAACAAATATGCAGTGGAAGAAAGTGGAGATGGATTGGGCATACACTGAGAAGGCTGACTGGGGACATCACGCGTCAGGCCAGGCCTTCGAGTGGAAGCCAAAGGAGAAACGACGAGTTGAGCATCCGAGGTGAGGGTGTGAGGAAGAAACGAGAGGTTGTGGGCTGTCGTGGAGCGAGGTTGAAAAGATTGTAGAGAATCGAGTGGAATGGAGACGTGCTAGTGAAGCCCTATGTTCCATTAGGAACCCAAGGGAAAAATAACAATATATAATATTATAAGTATAGTGAACTTTACCTCCCTAGTACTCACAACTGAATACTTGCAGCAATATGAATAACACAAGAAAAATTCTGTACACTTTCATGTTCTGAACTATAAAACATCATGGTGTGTGTGTGTGTGTGTGTGTTTGTATGAGAGGATATTACTGGTCATATCCAACTACATGGTATGGACTTCAATCCATTACTTAGATTCTCTCCAGATCAATGTGCCAGAGATTCTACGAGAAAAAGGTACATTCTGTTGAATTCTATCCTACACATTTGAATGAACCAGTGCAAACCAACTTATCTCAAACTCTTAATATGTCAATCAATCTATAAGGTAGGTAGGCAGGTAGGTACTTACATCCTCATTTCTATGTAGTCCTTTTAATTAATGGATTTTTTTTGTTGTTACTAATCCTACTGAAAATAATTAATGTTTTCCTTTTTTTCCTTATCTTTCAATAATGTGTTTTTCTTAGAATTCAGCAAAAAAGAAACGTGAAATTGAACGCTTTGAAAATTTAATTGAACGTTTAACTATAGAACAAACAGAACGTGAAGAACATGTTACACGTGTAAGAGCTTGGCTTATGACTGAACGTGATAATTGGTTTCAAACAAGATTAGCAACAAAAACTGATACAATAACACAATTTCTACAATTATGTATATATCCTAGAGTATGTTTTACTGCAGCAGATGCTATATATGCTGCACAATTTATGCATGTTTTACATCAATTGAAAACTGCACGATTTTCTACATTGATTTGTTTAGATAGAGTAAGTTTGTTTTGTTTGTTTTTTCTTGTTTGATATTTCTTAACTGTTGAATTTTGAATCACTTTCTATGAGTACTAAATTTAACCTTTAAGTAATGTATTTTTGAGATGAATGGGGATATTTAATTTAGAGTACTGGACACCTGTTTCGTCTCAGTATGGTACTCCTCGGCAGTACTAACCCACTACCCGGCTAGGCATTGGATTTAGGATCTTCAGGTTTCACGGCGAACGCGTTAACCATTCAAACATTGGGTCGATCGGTTATCAGTGGTTCACGGTTCCAACTTCCGTGAGTTCTCGATATGACGCGACTATCACCCAAGGTCCTCAGTTAGCATCCACTTCACTTCCGACCGGTTGACCCACAGGTCACAGCTTCTCATTAGAACTTCCTGATATGATACCCAGTAGCTGGATGGTTAACGCGTTCGCCGTGAAACCTGAAGGTCCTGAGTTCGATCCCTAGACGGGTCGTGGGTGCATACTTCTGAGGAGTCCCATACTACGGCGGAACGGCTGTCCAGTGCTTTCAGATTTTCAATGGTTCCCCCAACTGATGTCAGTCCATGATGAATACTACTTCTTAAGCTTTAAGTGTTGAAGATAAACTTTTGTAATGAATATTCCCTCCGCCCCCCCCCTGCCCCTACCTTCCTTGATTCGAGTTGTTTTTTCATGTGTTCCGAGCAATTATATTGTTTACTCTGATATACAGACCTAATCACGTAACTGTATTGGGCTAAAAACGTGTACTGGTCTGTTGAATTACACTCTTTTAGTCACTTCGTTGATTCCAACTAGACACGTTTTCATTTCAAAATCGGCTTGTTTTCATGGTTGGTCACAGAATGTCAGTGGGTTTCATGTGTATACATTCAGAGGAAGCATTCCAGTGAATGATGGCGTTATCACATTTGGAAGCAAGAAACAGAACGTGTATGTATTGATGACAATATAGTGTACTGCGCATTGTGCACAATAACTGAGTTAACTTTAAATCTCTATGAGTTACTTTCATGCTGGTACTTTATCATCAGATAATGCTTTGACAAGTTATTGAGTACCTCTAACTACATTTCTTTTACTTCGAGCGAAAATATGAGTATGTTTGGCATGTGTTACAGACCTGTCGAATGTAAAAGGATGCTTCAGGACTGGTCTGCAACCGTTCCCTGTTTAATGATAGGGAGTGAAGTGGTGGAATATGGGCTGGTTTTGAACGATATTCACGTTTGATGGAACCTGTGTGAGCTATGTTGAAGTCAGTCGAAGGCTATTACGGAAGATAGGCAAGCTCTTTGATGAGGTTGTGAAGTCTCTGACTGTTTCTTTTAGACATATGTGTAGATGTAGACTGCTTGATTGGAATCAGTGGTTGAGGGTATTCTTGGTGACACTTGGAAATCGGTCACAGTAGCACAGATCTATCCATTCTTCGTCTTCTAATGCTTGGATATTCGCACTAACCTTTATCTTCGAACAGCTTGTACTCTCACGTAACTGTATCTACTTTAAAGTCACTCTTTTTCTATCTCCCTGTTCTTTGTATACTACTGTGAAGTGTGGCAACTTGAGCGGATGCACCTGTTTACAAGGTTCCACGTTGGTTCCATTTAACGTTTTTCACAAATTGAATTGATATGGAATCAAGCACTAACATATATGTTTATCGGTCAACTGGTACGATGATTGAGAACAATTCTTAGTCACTGAATTGAAATTTAGACACAGCTGTGGCTCATTGGTTTCAATAGATGACTTTCAGTCAATGGGTCACGGGTTCGAACCCTTCCGGGTATTATCAATTGCCGTTACATAATAGATGTGGAGGTCCTTGCCAACTGTGACATGATTAACTCAGCTTCCACAGCTCTCATAATATAGTTTTTATTCGGTTACATTTTTCAATTTCAGAATGTGTAATCTAACCACTCCTTTCATGTATTTTCTACTTGGGATTATTTCATTCTGCATATTATGCGTTTTCAAAACACACACACACACAAGTACATACATAAATTTCATCAGATCTTACTGAGTCTATTTAACACATTTGTTTCCTGTTTTTGTATAGATCTTCAATGATATTACACTTCCGACAAGTATGTGTACAGAGGATGAAGCTCATCGTTATGGTCGATTTTTGTGTGCAGTTCTTGAGCTTGTTATGCGTTGGCATGCTAGTGAAGAGGTATTCAATCAAGAATGTGGTCAATATCCAGGTTTTGTCACTGTTTTTAGAAAGGTGAGTGATCTATGTAATGGAATACTACTGTGTAACTGCATTAATTTTTTAAGATCACCTTTTAATCCATCCGAAATCATATTATTCGTATTGTTATCTTCCTTGAGAAGATGATGATGAGACGGAAAGAAGGAAAGTCAAACAGTAGTGTTGGTTATGATTTCTTCACTTTCGTTCACTCAACCTTGATGATATAAGTGTCCATATTACGCCCCCCCTCCCCTTCACACCCCTCTCTCTCTAAAAGAAATCGTTACCTATTAGGTGTACCAAAAAGAGTTACAGTGTATAGATCTATCAACTCTCAATTATGATAATGGCATTTATGATTAACCTTTATTCATCTATCTATCCATCTGAACGTCATATATATATATATATATATATATATATATATATATATATATATATATATATATATATATATATATATGACTTTTACGATCACATTCTTACATTGAAAGCTTTTGACTATAGAGTGATGGAGATAATAAGCGAGGTCATTGGATTTAATAACTTCTTGTTATATACTGTTGTTCACATCTCAATCTAAATAGTTAAAAGTCTGATGCATATAAACGTTCATCTTCTTGCCTATTGTAAATTATGCATCTTTGATTGTTTCTCTAGTTCACTTTTTGTGTCCTTCCTTCTGAACCATAATCTTGAGTATGATTAGTCCATTATTCTGTAGAAAGCTGAGAAGAAAACATGGTATTCAACCCTTGAAATCTGTATTCATTGATGTACTCTATCTGTTTAACTTCCTTGTTATGGTGGTTAGACATGCTTTTGCGTATAACTATCACAGTGATATAGATGTACCTACAATGAATCGTTGAAATTTAGAACATTATACTAACTTTCGTTTATATTTCCTGAGTGGCGCATGAATGATAGTGAAATGGGAATCAAGGCTATGGCAGATTTTGAACCAAGATACATCTGAGGCACCGGCCTAATGCTTTACCACCTGAGATACGAAACTCCACTACAAACTACATCGTAATTTCATCTTATTTATTATTCCCTTATTACATTTTTATCATATTATTATTTATCCCTTGAGTTCCTACTGCAACATAGGGCTTCAGTAGCACGTCTCCATTCCACTCGATTCTCTACAATTTTTCTAACCTCGCTCCACTAATGCCCACAACCTCTCATTTCTTCCTCACACCATCTCCTCCATGTCACCCTCACCTCGATGCCCAACTCGCCGTTTCCCATCTGGTTTCCATTCGAAGGCCTGGCCTGACACATGATGTCGCCAATCCGTCTCCTCAGAACATGCAAAATCCATTTCCACATCCTTCTGCATATTTGTTCAGAGATAGCTTCTTTGTTGGTTCGTTGCCAGCTAGCCAGCCAGCCAGCCAGCCAACCAGAGTTCCTTGTTGCTTATCCCCGTTATTCTGGCCATCTGAGCTTCACTGTCGAGCCAGCATAGGTGGCAGATGTTGATGTGATGTATGTCTGTAGTTTGTTGGAAATGCTTTTCGTGACACGCCAAGTCTCTGAACCATCACACAGAACCACTAACTGACTCGATTGAATTAGTGTTAAAAATGCGCATGTTGTTCACGCTTTACGCTGAGTAGAGTAGATCTGCACACTGGTTTCAGCTTGATGAACGCCTGTCTTGCAGTCTTCCCAATCCTGGCTGGTTTTCACGTCCTCGTCTGTGCTGCCTGTAGTTGGAACGATACTGCCTACATAGGTGAAAGAGATTACTTCCTTTAAGTTTCTCCCGTTGATGGAGATTGGAGTTTGTTGTTGTTGTTGTTGTTGGTGTGGTGGTGGTGTTGGTTGATTATCTTCATCACCTCTATCTTCTCTATATTCACTTGAAGTCCCGTCTTCCTTGACTGCCCTGTCTCTTCAGTCAACTTGTTAGTTTTTGCGTTTAGATCTTCGAGTTTGTGTGACATTAGACATAAGTCATCACTGGCGAAATCTAAATCTTCTAGGTTCTTTTCCCACTTCAGTCAGCGGAAGGTAGGGGCATATTGCATAGATGGATGTCTTCAGGACAGTTTACTGCTATAGGTTGGTTATGATGGCTATTTGATGATATAATTGCTGAAAGAAAAAATAAACGAAATTTACTCATCAACCTTGTACACATTTATGCAGTAGACAATGAGCGATATCTTTTGTGTGATGGCTAATGATACTACTACATGGCTTTCCAAACCTTTTTGTAGGTGGACCGGGATTCGAACCAGCTATCTGAAATTATGAAACCTTTATTTATCACTTTGTAGACAAGTTTTGTGGTTAAATTTTATTTTATGTATACTTTTTGGAAAGTTGTATCATCTAGCATAGTTTTTTTTATCCCAGGGTTACCTCTTTCCAAATTATGAAAACCACCATTTCTACTACTACCACTACTACTACTACTAAAATTGTAAGAAGTAGTTGTACTCTTTTTATTCTTCAGAGTCAGAAGTTACACTTCTGTTGTGTTAATGTGTGTTGAGGTGAATAGATGCGGTTTTTTTTTGGTAGGTTAAGAAAATTGTCTCGGTGATACTCATCACGTTTATTCTATTTCTGTTGTGTTAATGTCTATGTGTTGCGATGATGTGATGCGTTTTATGGTAGGGTAAAAAATTGTCTCGTTTAATATTCATCACGTTTATTCTATTTTTGGATATTAGAGTTTTCACTTCATAAACATAGTTGATTTACATTTCATTTATACTGCAGGACATTGTGTGTACAGGCTTCTTACCCGTTTTGATTCAATATATGATTAACTTTGCTGGACCGGGGAAGAGATCCTAGAAGATTTAGATTTCGCCAGTGATGACTTATGTCTAATGTCACACAAACTCGAAGATCTAAACGCAAAAACTAACAAGTTGACTGAAGAGACAGGGCAGTCAAGGAAGACGGGACTTCAAGTGAATATAGAGAAGATAGAGGTGATGAAGATACTCAACCAACACCACCACCACCACCAACAACAACAACAACAAACTCCAATCTCCATCAACGGAGAAACTTAAAGGAAGTAATCTCTTTCACCTATGTAGGCAGTATCGTTCCAACTACAGGCAGCACAGACGAGGACGTGAAAACCAGCCAGGATTGGGAAGACTGCAAGACAGGCGTTCATCAAGCTGAAACCAGTGTGCAGATCTACTCTACTCAGCGTAAAGCGTGAACAACATGCGCATTTTTAACACTAATTCAATCGAGTCAGTTAGTGGTTCTGTGTGATGGTTCAGAGACTTGGCGTGTCACGAAAAGCATTTCCAACAAACTACAGACATACATCACATCAACATCTGCCACCTATGCTGGCTCGACAGTGAAGCTCAGATGGCCAGAATAACGGGGATAAGCAACAAGGAACTCTGGTTGGCTGGCTGGCTGGCTGGCTAGCTGGCAACGAACCAACAAAGAAGCTATCTCTGAACAAATATGCAGAAGGATGTGGAAATGGATTTTGCATGTTCTGAGGAGACGGATTGGCGACATCATGTGTCAGGCCAGGCCTTCGAATGGAAACCAGATGGGAAACGGCGAGTTGGGCATCCGAGGTGAGGGTGACATGGAGGAGATGGTGTGAGGAAGAAATGAGAGGTTGTGGGCATTAGTGGAGCGAGGTTAGAAAAATTGTAGAGAATCGAGTGGAATGGAGACGTGCTACTGAAGCCCTATGTTGCAGTAGGAACTCAAGGGATAAATAATAATATAATTGACTTTACTGATACATGCACACCGGCATATTGTATCTATCCAAATCTTTTCGTTTACTTTACGTTCTTTGTAGCTATTGCCTCAAGTACTACTGCTGTTCACTACATTCAACCAATAATCAGACTAAAGTTATTACTCTTCCTCCGTTGTATTTTTACACGTGTGTAGCTAGTTTTCTAAGCTTTCTTGTGTCTTATATTTATAATTTTGAAGTGTTTGATTGTGTACCATGATTTCTGGTTAAGAGTGCTTATCATTCTTCCGTAAATCAGATTCTCCATTTGCTCATCTTCTGTTGGAAGATAAACTTCTATGCGGATGTCTGAATACTACTTGGATATTCATTACTTCATAGTCTGCTTAGTGGCTGGCATTAGAATTCAGGACGCGCACGTCCCTACTGAGACTTTGGTATCAGGAGGTACATCCAGCTGACAAGTGTCAAATAAGGTGAAAGGCACTTCCTGTATTTCATTGCTAACCACTTAGTACACTATTAAATAAGCTAATCAATTTAGTAGTTGTAATGCATAACCAATATGCGTTGGTGTTAAGAGATTTCCTTTTCAGAATCGCTGTGCCATCCACTAACCACATATACCAATGAGTTAGAGATGAATAATTTCATATTGATAGTCATCATGGACTGATATCAGTTGGAGGAACATTAGGAACCTGGGAACACTGAACAATCGCTTCATCCTTGTATTGGATTCCTAAGCAATATATAGCCGTGACCTCGCCCCGCCAGGGATCGAACCCACTGGATTGGAATCCAAGGCTCCATATTTCCTACTTCTGTACGTTCACGATGTCATTCCATAATGAATACCAACCTGTAATCAATCAGTAAGTCGTCACAAACCTCCAGATTGAAAGATGAATAGATGAATTTTATGTGGCGATGCAGTTATATTGATAGACAGAGTAGTCTTTCACCTTGCTTTATCCCTTCCTTATGTGGATTCTTCATCAGATCTCTAGCCTATCAAGAATGGTAAGGTATGATTATTTCTATTGTTCATAAGCTCTAGGTTCTCTCTCTCTGACTTTCTTTCATTCTCTACTGAGTTAATCTCACCTATTTTCTTTTCTTTTTGTTCGTCAAAACAAATCATCATCATCATCATCATAACCGATAGACGTATCAAGGTTTAGATGCCAATACAAAACCGGATCAATTACAATATGAAAATTATCGTCATGTTGTGCATAAATGGCATTATCGTATAACAAAAGCAATTGTTGCTTGTTTAGAATCAGGCAATTATGTTCAAATTCGAAATGCTTTAATTGTTCTCACGCGTATCTTACCACAATATCCAAAGATTACACAATTTGGTAGTGCTGTAGAACGACGTGTCAATAAATTGAAAGAAGAAGAGAAAGATCGTCGACCTGACTTAAAAGTATGTGTTTTGTTGTTATGCTTTTATGAATTTCATATTTTTATTTATAAAAATATCTAATATACATTGTTCTATGATTGTTACTAATGTTTTTTTTTGTTATGACTTGTAAACTTACTAGGTGAATAGTTTATATCAAATGATTTTGATCGACTTTTGTTTATCATCTTAATCGCTGGTAGGCTTCAGGGTGAATTCTATCGATTAAATGGTTTTCATTAACTGACCATCTATTCTATTGATTTCATCATCATTATCAACATAGGACCAGGCATTACTGCGTAACGGTCCGAGTTGCCACACCTCATATCAGCACATTAAGTAAAAAGGTAGTAAGGTGAAGGATGAAGATAAGTGAATGCAGTCAGAAGAAATATAAAGTACGAGAAGAAAGGAAAGAGGAGTGACAAAATGGTGAGATTCGGTATAGCGTTGTTAAGATGAGGATAATGTGTGTATACATCTGCGACACTAACATCGGTTCTGAGCCATATGACCTAGGGTCTCCAACCACTGGTTCCTCTTATCCCGTGGACCCCAACCACCTAGTCTGCATCGTTCTACATGGCTTAAACCAACAATCAGAGACTTCATACATTGGTGTCATGTTTTAGTCTGGCCATCTCGAGTCTTTTTCCAGCCTGGACCCACCTCAGCCAACATTGTGTGACAAGACAATCGGTGACTAGGCATACGTAGTACGTGTCCCAACCATCTCAGTCGATGAAGGTTCATAACCTCGTCAACTGACTAACCTCTTCTCCACAAAACTCTACACCTGACTTTTGCATTACTCACATGGTGACACCACGGAATACGTCCTATGCTACGGAGGCAATGGTGGTCAAACACCTGAAGCCTTTTTGTATCCTCCACTTTCAATGGCCATGTTTCACAGCCATATAGTAGAAGAGAGCGGACTGCTGTGCAGTACACGCGACCCTTGATAGATAAATGGATATCACGGCGGCGCCATGGATGGCGCGAATTGGCAAAAGTCAATCGAGCCTTTTGTATCCGTGCCGAGATTTCATTGGCAACTAACCCACCAGGGTTGATCCTACTTCCCAGGTAAGTGAAGTGGTCAACACACTCAACCACTTCGCTCTCTATTGTTAGCCGCGGTACCGCTGAAGACCAGCCTTTTGTATTCTATTGATTTGCCTAATGTTGTTGTAAAAAATGTAACTGTCATAATATATAACATTAAAGGAATTGAATTTGTTCTTACCTCGACGTCGTGGATCCATCTAAATCACCATAGGACCAGGCATTACTGCTTAACAGTCCGAGTTGCCACATACCTCATATCACTACATCAAGTAAAAAGGCAGTGAGGCGCAAGATGAAGAAATATAGAGTATTAAAAGAGGGAAAGGAAGAATGAGAAAATGGTGAGATTCGGTATAGCGTCGTTAAGATAAGGATAATGTATGTGTATACATCTACACCGCTGACTCATCGCTTCTCAACCATGATGCATCATCGATAGTCTCCAACCACTGGTTTCTCCTGGCTCACGGACCCAAACCGGCTAATCTGCATCGCCTCACATGGTTCAAACCAGTAGTCAAAGACTTCATAGATTGGCACCATCTTTTAGCCTGGTCACGAGCTTTTTTCCAGCCTAAACCTACTTCGGTCAACATTGTATGACGAGGCAAACGGCGATAAGGTATACGTAACATATGTTCCAATCTGGTGCCAGCGTGAATATTTGGTCGACCCACCCGCGATCGCGTCTAAAGCCTATCTGATTTTCTCCGACTTGCTGTTCCTGAGCTCCACTCAGGCGTCGATTGATGATGGAACCTAGAATTTTAGATACGATGTTCGTCAGTTTGATTCCTCTGTGGTTATCACAAGAGGACTTCTCACCTTTCTTGAAGACTGGAATAATCAGTGAATTTAGGCCAGTCAGAGAGGATCATATTTGATTCGCGTATACTTGTTAATGTTTCCGTTAACCTAACTAAGAGCACTTAGTTACCATCCAAAAGGGTTCAGGGTGGGGACCTGTCACCAATTGATAAAGTCCCTGAAAGTTTGCCTGAGTCGTGTGATGAAATGTAGACTCCTAGGCTGAGGTCCTCGAGACGATAGGAACGAGCGGTTTAGGACTCTTGCTGACATAGCTGGAAATCCGACACAATGGTGCAGATATATTCACTCTCTGACATGCTGTAAATATGTCTTCAATTCGTTTATTCTCTCACACAACTTTGTCTACTTTGATATCAATCTATTTCTGTCCACTTGTTCTCTGTACACTACTGTGAAGTGTGACAACTTGGCCGGATACACCTATGTATGAGGTTCTAAGTTGATTTTGTCTGTCATATGTGTTTGTGTTCTGTCATCGAGTAGAAATGCATATTTTATGATAGTTCCGATTGATTGTGAATTTGAACAGTCGAAGTGATAACATTTTCTCGTCTATTTGAGATAGTTCTAATTGTATTCACTCGAAATTCAACATGATGAGTGTATCCGTAATCTTAGTGTACTAGACAACTGTTTCGTCCTAGTATGGGACTCCTCGGCAGTACGCACCCACTATCCCACCCTACCAGGGACCTTTAGGTTTTACGGCGAACGCATTAACCTTTTAGCCACATGGTCAGAGTTCATTGGTTCACAGTTTCCAACTCCTATCAATTCGCGATATAGCATGACTTATCATCCAGCAAGGTCTTCAGTTAGTCATCTGCTTCCCTTCCAACTGGTTAATCCTACAGATCACCACTTCTCAGTAAAACTTCGTGATATCGATTTTAAAGCATGTTACTAATGAGCATTATAGAGTAATGTATTTTTGAGATGATATCATTCCATGGTGAATACTGGCTCTAAAATTACAATCCCCATCTCAGAGATAACAATCGAGCAATTTCGCTCTGTATAGCAATCAGAAATTACAAGTGAATTTCACTTACAATGAAATTTTTGTGCACTTTCACCACCCAGTCAACCTAAAGCAATAGAGTGACTCTAAAGATCAGCCTAGTAACTGCTGGAACAACCAATCACCTTTCACTATTTTGGCTAGGAAGTTAGATTATCATAATTGGTTGTCTTAACAGTTACTAGGTTGGTTTTTAAAATCAATCAAGCAACATCAATATTTCTTGTTCGTTGTAACTGTTTTTAGTTCATCATTTTGATTATCGTGGTTCGGCTGATTTGAAGATAAATTGCAAATTCGGACCACGATCGGATTCGAACCAGCGGATTCTACCAACAAGGCGTGAGGTCCGATTGCTGACTAGGTTTTTACTACACTTCACTTTTTTTGTTTGTTTGTTTGTTTACGTGTATTTTTGTGTATGCTTGTATAACAATTTCTGATTATATCCAGTAATCGTTTCATTGATTGGTCTACTTGTTTTGTGAAGTTTGTCTCATTGGTTTAGTCACTTGATTTCTAATCGAATAGGTCACGGGTTCGAACCAAGCTCCTGGTTTTACCAACTGATTAGTATCATTAAGCTTTGTCAAACAGTTGGTGTGGCTCGTTTCGCCTACGGCACACCTGTGCACAAGGCTGTTGAAGGAGTTTTGACTTCTTTTTTTCAATTCCACTATTTTATGATACATTTATCATGGATAATAATATGTAAATTACTCAACAATTTGGTCATTTCAATTTAGACAATATGGTTCATGCAATTCAGTTATTATTAGTAATATTAACCTTATTTATTGTTATCTTATTTTTGATAGGCTCTAGCATTTAGTTATGCTGGTCTAATGCGTCCACATAGAGCTAAATGGGTTAGTGAGGAAGAGTTTCATTTAAAGGAGACAAAACCACTACGTTCAGACAATAATACATGTTATTCTGGTAGTCTACAAAGCAGCAGTGGGAATACTTCTCAATTTTCTAGTCGTACTATATCAAGCATTAACTGTAATACTACTACCGCTACTAATACTACTAATACTACTAATACTACTAGCAGTAGTAGTAGTAGTACTACTACTACTACTCCTGGTTATGCTCACAATCTACGTGGACATTCAGCATCCGGTCAACTAACAAATTCTTCGAATGCATCTGGTACTGGAAATGCTAATACTGCTGGTAGTAGTAGCACTGTCAGTGGTAACAGTAATCCTTCTGTGTGTACTGCCAATGTCAGTAGTGCTGGTGGTGCCGGTGGTAGTACTTCATCTCTTGAATCATCTCATATTTCTGTACCAATTCGACGAACCACATCAAATAGTTCAGTACCTTCTAGTCAAAGTAAAACAATGTCCAGTTCAGTTGTCTCATCAAGTGGCAATGGTGAGCCTACAGTGTTGATTATTTGTTAATATATTGATTGATGTTCTCATAAATTTATCCTTTGTATTTTATCTGGTTCACTGTGTGATATTGATACGTTATTCACAAAATACCATCATCCATGCATATTATTATTATTATTATTATTCGTCCTTTGGGCTCCTAGTGGAACAGTAGCACACCTCCATTGCACTCCCTTCTCTGCAGTCTTTTCAACCTGCCTTCACCACTGCCCACAAGCTTTCATGTGTTCCTTACACCACCTCCTCCATGTCACCTTCGCCTTGGACACTCAATTCGTTGTTTCCCATTTGGATTCCACTCGTGGGCCTGGTCTGGCGCGTGATGTCCCCAGTCGGCCTTCTCAGTTTATGTCTAATCCAATATACCTCCACTCTCTGCTTCTGCATATTTGTTGGGTGATTGGTTCTCGGTTGGTTCGTTGCCAGCCAGCCAGAATTCCTCCTTGCTTATTCTTATTATTCTAGCCAACTGATCTGATCTTCAGTATGGAATGAGCGTAGGCAACAGCTGTTAATGTATGTGTATAGTTTGTTGGAAATGCCTTTGGTAGGGCGCCAAGTCTCTGAACTATCACATAGAAGCACTGACTTGACTGAATTAGAGTTGAAAATCCAGATCCTGTTCGTTATACTGAGTGCAGTAGACCTTCACACTGACTCCCATGCATGTGGAATAGATGAAAGAAGTAAAATGCTTGAACGGAACCAGAAATGAATAACTAGAGAATCTCTAAGGCAACTTTAATTGAATAACAAATTTCACTGACGTCTGAATTAGATGAAGTTGGAATGGTTTCATATCAATAAAATTGGTTTTCTCATATCATCTTCAGTTGTTAGAGTCATCAAGACGACCTCGTATCGAAAGATTCTATATGCTATTGAAGACTGCTATGCTTTGGTTGTCGTTTGTATGCGATGTCTCAACGCAAGTGACGTATGGTTCAATCTCACACAGTAAGTAGTCACCCTTACTAAAGGCTACAAATTCCTCTTCGGTACTATTCATATGTTTCATTAGACACACAAGTCCGTGTAAGGTACCGTTAGCCAAGTGTTTCTATCTTCAGGGTTGATTAGTCCATAAATATATTTTGGTATCGGGCGCTATTTCGTAGAGTGTTCATCATATCAGAAAACTTCCCCACAGCCCGTTCATCATTTTTCCTATCTTTCCTGGTATTATTAAACATTGTTTTGCTTCCAACTGTTTTCAGAGACGCGATCACGTTCGCAGACAATAAACGCTTCTGTCGCACCTGGAGAAACCTCAAAGTCCAATTCTTCTTCTCATACACCCGGATCTGGATCATCTTCAACTATCGGAACAGCAGTCACCAATATTGTTGGTGCCAGCAGTGTGAGTAACACTTCACCTACACTTCAAGCACCTGCTCAAAGCAAATTACGATCTAGTCAGTAAGTTCATCAAACATTCACTCATTACTGCATAATATTCAATTTATTACTTTTTACAGGAACATATCTTCATTGCCAACGACACTTGACCTACTTCAGATGATATACACATACATGGATGTAAACATACATATAGAGTAGACAATGTGACAACAATTACTCCTTGATACTAACAGACAATGACAGAAACATGCAGAGCTGTAAGAAGTGTTGACATTGTGTATTATATGCAGGAGAGATTAGAATAAGCATCCTCTCTATTCACCACCACTATCTTGTTGCTTATTCCCAACTGAGTAATCAAAAGGAAAAAAACAACACACAAAGATAATCATGATCATAAAAAGGCGCTGGTTAATATGATGAAGACACGCGATGCCTAACATAACGTGAAGAAAGAAAGTGAGTTGAGTTGAGAAATGCAGCAGCAGCAGCAGCATTTCCCAGTGTGTGAACAAACAGAGGTGTACACACCTACTCGACAATCATCTTTGTCACAGAGAGAATTAAGACAATTCAAGTGGAGAATGCGCTCAAGCTGTCTCATTCACATACTTCTCTTTTATTGTTAACAACAAGATAACTACATCTGCCTTTGATCATTACACTTCTATCCTATGGATAATATAACACTGTACAGTGAATTGAAATATTTATGCAGAGGGAGAGAGAAGGAGGATTCACGTTTGTTAGAGAAGAGTTGAAGTGAAGAGAAAACATAACATGACAACAGGAGTAAATAGTATAGAGTTGTAATGAATAAGACGTGAATGTTGTGCTATGATGTGCTTCAAAACAATATCAAAAAAGTATATGCAAACAACTTGATGATGGTTAATCATGATGCAAAGGGCATCACACCACACTGCACAAAAGACTGAGGATACAAATAAACCCTGAGAGGTGCACGACATATTGTCTACATTCAGAGAATAACAATTTCAACAGAATTACTGAAGAGAACAAGTAAATACCTGAAAGTGTTCACACAAACACAAAAACGAAGTTGCTGTGCTCGCTGCCTTTAGTGGGATGATGATGTTGAAGATGAATGTAAAGGGTGTAACTAAGCCAGAAAGCATACCTGTCTCTAGCAATCGGGTGTTGTATCAACCATGCGTATATATTCATGTATGATAAAGTGAAGAACAGTATGTTTGCATGGTCATGGTTGAGATACACTTACCGTATGATACAATATAGTAATCGAAGGGTCGGTAGACGGAGTACAATTGGAGTTCGTAGCCCACTGAGTGAAAGTTGACAGGCGAAACCTATGAACCACAGCTGTTACATACTGCAGACCAACAGTGTTACCGGAACACTGACATAAGTTTCATACCTTAACTGTGATCAACAAGTAGGTAATAAAGAGGAATGGACATCTTGAGGATGTACGCGTAGGGGGTAGTGGTTGGACATGAGTAGTAGTGAAGATGTAGTGCTGTAATATCTGACTGATGAGAGTCAAGAATTAACTCTATGAAATATATTTCAATCATTGGTTGTCTGAGTTAATAAGAAAATGGCCATAACTGAACTTGTGATAATCACGGACCAGATAGATTAGTCAGGTGTTTCTATAACCTTGTCGCTTGAGCTCCTGTTTATGGAGACGAATTCCAATCATTTAGTCACGGCTTCAAACAGATCTCCACCTACAAATGGTTTGGTCAGCCAGGTGGTTTATTCTCAAACCTTCGGCACACTAGGTGTGGTTCACTGCCTACTGCATTTCAATTCGTATGGATTATCCTGGTATGGAGAAGAGTCATATTCTGTCGTGAGTCTTCTTTGAAATGTGAAATGCACACGACAGCTCTCTCTCTCGTTTGTTCTCCATCCCTCGCATGGGCAATGTGTTCGTCTCAGTATCGATGTTATACATTTATTCGCATATTCATTCATATTATTGAACAGCCACAATCAAACGTTTACTTAGAATCCTTTCAAATGATACTTTACAGCGATGCTCTAATCACCTGACTTCGGTTCTGCTCAGCTGAACAAACCAACTACACATTCACATTCTACTCTGTAAGCTGTAATGAATCATATGAGTGTCATCGATGTCTACACTATACTGTACATGATTAGGTTGAAACGAGTGATACATCAGTTGGAATTTTCACCTTGGTTAATAACAATTAGTAGATACTTCAGATGATAAACATGGTGCTTATACCCCTTCTGCTTGTAGTCTCTTCGATTTTCGCTTTAACCAGAAGTATAATAAATTTGCCTTACCATGTATTATTGTATTGACTAAATTATACTATGAATTTGATATACTGAGGAATGTTTTGCTTTGTTTTGTTTTGTCTTCATATATTGTTGTGTTTGTTGTGTGTGGGGAAAAAATAGACGCCTAGAAACACCTGTGTCGGCTACAACAGATGAAGATGTTACCACTACACCGAGTTCTCAGTCATACAGTGAGTTATCTAGACTATTTTGAATTGATTTATTTGATGTAATCAGTTTTATTTTATTTCCGAATTGTCTCATTGGGGATGTTCTAGTCTTTTTCTCACAAAAAACGTTTTGATGTGACAACAATATACCACCATCAGCCGGAATAGTCGGTTTTTATGTGCAGTGTTTAAGGATTTACTTGTTTAAGTTGTGTTATATAGGAGCTGATGTGGACTGACTTTTCATAATGTCGTTCAGCATCCTAAAACGCTATCCACCTGATTAGTTGATGATAATTTCTGTAGTTGATATTGTGTGATGATTAAAAGTGAAGCGAAGATGTATATTACCTGAAGAAAGCAATGAGTGACCTTCGGGCTGGAATCATCTTCCCTTTACTCATGACAGAGAGTCAGTGACACCAATCTGCCTGACTACAGCTATCTCAAATACTCCAAAGGATTGGTGACTGAAATGAATGAAAGTGGTGGTTTATTTTCCATCACGGATTGACATGAATAAACTTCCTACAAAGTGACAATTGACTGACTTGTTATCCAGTTTATGCTAGTGAATTACTTTGAGATGGATTTCTCAAAGTTCTGATGACAAGTCTTTTTACCAGTGGTATTAAGCAAGTTGGGAATGTGATGGACGCCCATCAGTGATGTTAAATGATGGTCATGTTGTATGGTGAAATTAGCAAGGATAGTAAAATGTGAAGCATAGGATTTTGTAATGGTAACGTACTCATTGGTAAATGTGATAATGATGCTGTGAATCCTTCATCAGTTCATGTGTGATGTAGTTCTTTGAAGTCAGAAATTAGGATGAAATAGTTGTCTAATGCTTTCAGGTTTTACATAGATTTACAAGTAATGTGAGTTCACAATGAAAAGTACCTTCGAATCAATAAAATATCAACTATACAAGTATTGAATTACTATAATATCACTGACAACTGGTAAATCTAGATATTAGTCAACTGATTAAAGTATTCCTTCAGGGTGTTGACACTAAATTTTTTTTTCCGGCAGTTTTTAAGTAGTTTACTTATCATCGATATATGACTAAATTTATGGATGTATCGAAATTATTCCAACTGAAAATCAGATAAATATTTGTATTCATATTTAAAATTGCTCAATAGTAGAAAATTGTTCTTTTCATCTCTTCTCCTCTGACTACTGTCATATTCACATCATAAAAGTTTATCTTTTAAATCTGTGTTCCTCCAGAAATTGGTTGTTGTTGTTGTTGTTGTTGTTATTGTGCTGTATGTATACAAATGTACGTGTCTCTCTTTCTCCCTCCTTCCCTCTCTCGTCTTCCCCCTCTCCCTGTGTCTCCTTCTCCTCCCCCCCCCCTCTCTCTCTCTCTGTAGTTAGTGATCAAGGCGATAAATTCCGAAATAAAACTATACGTATATACATCCACCACACTAAAGGAATCATCTTTGCCTAGTAGATTAAAAAACGTTTTCTTTTCCATTCCCTTTTCTCCAAATAGTAACAGTAGAGGAGATAATGAATACAGAGATCAGAAGTAAAAAAAAATTAGATGATTATTTAAGGAAGCTTTAATATTTTTATTATTCTGTATAAATTTAAATCTACTTTCTTTCTCTTCTCTTCATACTTTGGTTAGTATTTATAGCTTACTTGTGTATTGATTCACCTTACTATTTTGTGTATCCATGTTCTCCAATTTTCGGCTAGTTTGAACTCCTTGTATATGTTGTGACTTACTTTTGTCGATCAACTACCATCTATGAATGATAAAAACAACTCTCCAATCATAATCTATTTTTTGCTGTGTTGTTAAAGTTATCACTATCTGAAGGAATTGCCTTATGCAGACGCTTCATCATACTTAACTAACCCCTCATGTTATTGAATGCAGAAGTAAGTAAGTAAGTAAGTTGATGAGTAGGTAAGTAAACACCTAAGTAAGAAAGTGGATGAGTAATTAGGTAAGTAAGTGGATGCGTGAGTGAGTGAGTAAGTAAGTAAGTAAGTAAGTAAGTAAGTAAGTAAGTAAGTAAGTAAGTAAGTAAGTAAGCAAGCAAGTAAGTAAGTAAGTAAGTAAGTAAGTAGGTAAGTAAGTGAGTGAGTGAGTGAGTGAGTGAGTGAGTGAGTGAGTGAGTGAGTGAGTGAGTGAGTGAGTGAGTGAGTGAGTGAGTGAGTGATGAGTGAGTGAGTGAGTGAGTGAGTGAGTGAGTGAGTGAGTGTGAGTGAGTGAGTGAGTGAGTGAGTGAGTGAGTGAGTGAGTGAGTGAGTGAGTGAGTGAGTGAGTGAGTGAGTGAGTGAGTGAGTGAGTGAGTGAGTGAGTGAGTGAGTGAGTGAGTGAGTGAGTGAGTGAGTGAGTGAGTGAGTGAGTGAGTGAGTGAGTGAGTGAGTGAGTGAGTGAGTGAGTGAGTGAGTGAGTGAGTGAGTGATGAGTGAGTGAGTGAGTGAGTGAGTGAGTGAGTGAGTGAGTGAGTGAGTGAGTGAGTGAGTGAGTGAGTGAGTGAGTGAGTGAGTGAGTGAGTGAGTGAGTGAGTGAGTGAGTGAGTGAGTGAGTGAGTGAGTGAGTGAGTGAGTGAGTGAGTAAAATATTACATATCAGCTTTATTTTCCATTGAAGAAACAAACAAACTCATGGAATATCACGCAAGAGAAAAAGCAATCTCACATGAGATACATACATACATACACACACCACATACATACATACATACATACATACATACATACATACATACATACATACATACATACATACATACATACATACATACATACATACATACATACATACATACATACATACATACATACATACATACATACATACATACATACATACATACATACATAGTGTAAACATTTCCATAAAAGGCAATCCATACACACTTGAGATTCATTGCTTAATGCGTTCACCTAATATTAATATGAGGAATAAACGTTTTTATTCGAAATGAAATCAGATTAAGACTGGAAAAAATGTGTGACTGGTACTTGAATAGATTTCTTTTTGCATTCACCTCTTAAAATCATAACATGCAACTTGATAAATATTAAGTTGATTTCTATAGATGAACACTACACACTAAGAGATTATTCTATGAGAGGATGGAGGCAACAACTAGTGAAAAATGAATGACAATTAACTAATCAGAATTCAATAACTCATCATTCAGTCAGTATAGATGCATCTATGAGTTGCTAGCATCACTGAATAAAGAAGTCAAGTATAATATACAAGTGGAATAGATTCCTTCTTATTTAAGCATTCAGTAAAATGTCAATTGAAAGTGTTATCAGTTTGTTTGTGATTGTAGATACACCATTCTGCTGATGAGTGTCAACAAGCACTGAAATCAAACAACTACAATGAGATGACAACAGATAATTAGGAGTAATAAATAATCATATATCACAGTCCTACTTCTCCTATAAACACTGATGATAATAATTGAAGATATACACAATTCATAATACAATCAGTTCACCGGGTCTCAGATCTCATGATGAACTCAAGGTAACAATTCAACACAACATTCAAATGTCTACATATCTCATATTGATTCATATGTTGACTAACTGATAACTCTTAACTGTATAGTTAACAGAAAACAACAATGAATATACATATGTCTGTGCTGTTAGTGTCGATGTTAAACATAAAAATATGAAACCATAACCTTAAGCCAACCAGGAGATCTACACTCTCTCCATACAATTCATCAAACAAGTTATCACACTTGATTTTCAGTCGAAATAAACTAACTAACTAACTGACTGACTGCATTTCACCCTCTCTCTCTCTCACACACACACACAGGCAATTGAGTTGTAGCTCCTTGATCTAGGCACATGATGACTTTCAACCAATGGGTTACGGGTTCGAGCACCGTTCCGCCTACTGAGGTTTCGACCACCCAATAGTATCACTGGCCTTCACACAATAGGTGTGGCTCATATACTCACATACTGCATGAATGTGCACAAGGTAGCTGAGTACATTTACATTTGTTTTATTCCCTATCTCTCTCTCTCTTTCTCTCTCTGTCACACACATACGCACACCAATTGTAACCTACTATTCATTACCTGTTAGCAGTAAGTAGGCTAAGTGTGTGCAGAAATATTGTTTTAACAATCTATTACAATTAATATACAAGTAACAGCATAGAAAAGCATAGCCGTCATACAAGAAGTGGCTATCGTGACTCGGTGGCCTAGTGAATAACGCTCTGGGGTTTCAAGCGATCTGTTCGAGTCCTAGCAGGGACACTGTCGCTCACTGGGAGACAGTATAACCAGCTGACAAGTCTCAGATAGGGACGAAACACACGTTCTAAATTCCACTACCATCCACCATTCCTCATTAATTTACGCTCATCTTTTATAAATCATTGACTTTTAATATTCTCGCACACTCTCCTGTCTAGAAAAGCTTTTGGGCTTAACTTGATTTTATGACACTGAGATGCATTTTGTTGCCTTTTGACATTTTGAAGTTCTGTGATAATATTCCATAACCTTAAAGTTCAAGCTGTTTACAACGTCAGTTATCAATCAATACTTTGATAAATTTGTGCCATGTGTGTTTCTCAATATGATCGAAAAAGGTGGAGATTTTTGCATGTTCGAAAACACAATAATTAAGCTAAGGTTCAAACTGTTAAATAGACCAATCACACTCGGACATTTCGCCTGGGATAGTGCCTTGCCAAAAAATACAGAAATTCAATTGGTTGTCTCATCAGTTGCCCTGGTGGCCTTTTGAATTCACCCCATTTCAGCATATGCAAATAGTTAGGTGTGGGTCTATTAGTATCTTTTATATATCTGGTTAAATCTGGTTAGCAGATTAACCAAATGACTAACGTAGGAAATAAATCAGAGACATAGACAGATAGTTGTATAAAGGTTCCAAGTGCAAAAGGCTGAACAAACCTTAGCGAAAAGAGTGTCTTTAAAGGTCACCTTAGGAAGTGACGAAACGACCAATCACATTTATCTACTCTATGAAAAAATTTTTCCCAACCAAAATGCCTCAATCTGATTGATGATTTCGGCAGTTGCTAGAGGGGGGGAGGGGCTGTACAGTCGTCTAGTGAAAAAGGTTCGCAACAGACACAGTAAAAGTGTTAATCTAATTATAGTAATGAAGCATAGTGGCTATCAATGGAATCTAGGATGCGCATTTCTTCGTATTCGGGACTCGTCAGTTGGATATACCTGCTTCCCGATGAGTGATGTTGTTGCCATCGGAATTTGGACTCAGGAGTGATCGCTTCAAACTCTAGAGCGTTATCCACTTCACCACCGAGCCACGATAGCCATTTGTGTGATAGGTACAGGTTTTAGTATAATTATTTTTAAATCATACCGTCGTTGATTGGACCGAATTGATCAGTCTCTATTGGCATATGGGATCCTGTGCGGATGCCTCGATATTACCAGTGCTCTAATGGTAGTAATTATGGATAGTGAGTAGCTAACAGTGGAATTCAGGATGCGCATTTCGTCCTATTTGGGACTCACTAGTCTGCTGCTTTCTCATGAGTGATGTTGTTCCCATCATGATTCGGACTGGGGAGTGATGAAATGCGCATCCTGGATTCCACTGCTAGCCACTATCCATCATTATTACCACTTTAACTATTGTCAGTATATGATGAAGTGCCACCTTGATATCTTAACTATCATTTGAATATGTTGTTTGTTTGTTTGTTTTTAAATCAAATTTTAGCCGCCTCAAAACGTCGTAGAATGGAATCAGCCAATTCTAGTAATGTCAATAGTTCAAATGGTTGTATCTTAACTTTGACCACATCGAAGGTGAGCACTAATAACACTAATATATATATGTATACAAAGGATGCTTTATTCTTTCTGTATGCTGAGATCGGGTTGGTGTGAGGGAGTTTGTTTTTGCAGGATTTTCAACCAAGAGAAATGCACCACTGTTACCAATGTTCTCTGGATGGATTGTTGATCGTAAACTATGCATGAATCTACTATTCTTAGAGTAAATTAATGTATAACCTTCAGTATTGCAGTGTGTGTCTGCTTAATTCAGTCGCTTGTCAATTAACAATAATCATTATTTGGATATGTCAAACACATTGAGGTAGATAAGCTCCATAGAGTTCCTTCTTCTTCTTCGGCTGCTGTTGCTGCTGCTGAGATGGAATGGCATGGAACGATCACAGTAGCTAATTCATCTATTGAGATCAACTATGAATTAACAGTTGGTGTTTACCACCCGGATGGGTTAGATCACTTTCTCAGTCTGTGTAATTCGATGAAATCTTGGATCATTAGTTTATGAAAATTGACAAGACAACATAATCACAGTTACACATATACGGATAGTTAATAATAACAAGTCAAGATATACTGAGTATCCTCATCAGTTATTAGTGTTTAGTGTTGTTTTTTGTTAAAAAGAAAATATCTGATTATTCTTGATGAAACCAGGTGATAAGACAAAAGAGAAAGGATTCTTCTAGTCCAGTCTACTTGTCAAAAGACAAAGAGAATTGAGAAATATAGAAGTATGTAGTATAATCACCTTATAAATTGCCAGTTGAATTGAAGAAATCAACAAAGGCAAGAAAGCCATACTATACATTTTTCTTTAAAATAATTGAAATTTCAATATACTACCAGTAAAGGCGAGAAACTGAACCATGTCTACTACTGTCATGTTTGTTTCTAATGATCAGTTTCTGAAAAAAAAGAGACTAGAAGATGTTATGAAGGGGAATGGAGGGAGGGGGCAAGTATAGCAGAAAGATAGATCGCACAATATTTGTGAAGATTTAAGAGTCACCCTTCTCTTGAAGAATATATACACACACACACGTGTGTGTGTGTGTTTACCCTGATATTCATTTACTCTTTGAGATGAATCTTGTATGGAAGATTTCTTATATATATAAATATGTGGTATATGTATTTATTCACTTAAAAATCTTTATAAGGTAAGTTATAATTGCATAAATTATGATTATGAAATACTTTCTAATCTGCATAATTAACCTGTTGTGTCTTGTTTATATATATGCCTGTTTGACTTGATGATTTTCCTCCGTAAAATAAGACCAAGGTATACCGACCACTCTGTGCTTTGAAGTTCTGTAGCGGTTGGATTGCTTTTACGGGGTAGGGTTGCTAGCCTTATGCTCAATATTCCCTCTTTACCCGGGTTTATGACCGGCTAGTAACTAGTGAACTAGTTAATCAGGCGAGGTTAAGCTTGCTCCTCGACCGGAAATCGAACCCGGACCTTTCATGTGACAGTTGGAGATACTTACCACTATACGATCGAGGACGTCAAAGCCAGATCGGAAAGACAGCAAGGCAGGCGTTCATTAACCTGAAACCAGTGTGTAGATCTTCTGCACTGCACTCAGCATAAAGCGTCAACAACATCCGGTTTTTCAACATCAATTCAGTCAAGTCAGTGCTTCTATATGGTTCAGAGACTTGGCGTGTCACGAAAAGCATTTCCAACAAACTACAGATATTCATCAACAACTGCGTACGCTGGCTCGTTGTTGAAGATCAGATGACCAGAATAGAATAATGAGAATAAGGAAGGAGGAACTGTGGCTGGCTGGCTGGCTGACTGGCTGGCTGGCTGGCTGGCTGGCTGGCTGGCTGGCTGGCTGGCTGGCTGGCTGGCTGGCTGGCTGGCTGGCTGGCTGGCTGGCTGGCTGGCTGGCTGGCTGGCTGGCTGGCTGGCTGGCTGGCTGGCTGGCTGGCTGGCTGGCTGGCTGGCTGGCTGGCTGGCTGGCTGGCTGGCTGGCTGGCAGGCAGGCAGGCAGGCAATGAACCAACGAAGCAAGAACCTATCACTCAACAAATATGCAGAAGAAAGTGAAGTGGAGATGGATTGGAGGTGCACTGAAAGACGGTATGGGGACATCACGAGCCAGACCAGGCACTAGAGTGAAATCCAAAGGGGAAACAGCGAGTTGGGCGTCCGAGGCAAGGGTGACATAGAGGAGATCGTGTGAGGGGAAATGAGAGGCTGTGGGCAGTCGTGGAGCTAGGTTCATAAGATCGCAAGAACCGAGTGCACTTGAGATATGCTACTGAAGCCCTATGTTCCACTAGGAACCCAAAGGATAAATAATAATCGTAATAATAATACCCACCAGTACCACAAGTTTGTGGGACAAGGAGAAGCGTGGTATATTTAAGATTTATTTCTTCTAAACCCTTCTTGCTATAACGGAAGCTAATATCAATATCAGCATGGAATACTGGTCATTTGCACCAGGCACCTCACTACTATTACATAGTGTAAAGCCAGTAAGAACGACTTTGTCCTCGAACCGTCATCATAAAGTTAAGCTAACAATACCTTTCTGGCATATGTATGAAACAGGTTAGTTCAGAGACAAACGTGATAAATATGGCTTTTTTGTTATTTGTTCATACTTGTAATCCTCTGTTGTCATGCTGGATTGACAACTGTTTGTATATCAACTCTATGGGGATAATTAGAAGACAGACTTTGACATGAGGTTTTACAATTGCACTTTATAAATTATTCAGCATACTCTTCATCTGATACCAATATAGTTAAATTAATTCGGCTATATGAATTAGCCAATAACAGTAAAGGTGATAATAACAGAAACAAAATCTCGGGAAATTTATATATATTCTCAATAATGAGTGTGATTAAAGGTGAGATGAAAATCTAGACCGCGGCCGGATTCGAACCAGCGACCATTGGCTGTGGTTCAGATTTTCATCTCACCTTCAATCTTCACCCAATATAATTACTAGTCTGCCAAACTACGGCTATCTCAAATAGTCGAATGATAATATTCTCTATATTCAATCCTTGTAGATGTGTGAGTAGTGAATGTGTGTGTGTGTGTGTGTGTGTGTGTGTGTGTGTGTGTGTATAGGGATAGAGGGAAATAAAATTATTGTCGCATAGTGATTAGATAATAAAATGTTGAAATTCCTAACCAATTATAAAACTAAGGGCGAAAAATAAAATGATAAGAGTACAAATAGAGATAATATTTACATTTATCTGGGTGTTCGCGAAGGCGTTTATTCTTATTGTATCTGGATTGAAGTTGAAGTTCATGCTAGGGAAAGGGAACGAATAAACATCTGAATATATAAATTAAGCTGGAAAATTTTGATTGCCATGGCTTCTACTATGCTTAGTAATCGGAGGCTTATAAACTTAAAGTATTGTGATGGGAGTTTGTAATCAATAGTAAATGCTGAGGTTTTGTCAATTTTATACTCAGTATCTACTAGATGGGCGAGTATTGAGCTTTTGATGAATTTCACTGGACAGTGTTCAGTGTAGCGATGGCAGACTTGCTAAGTCGTTCTACCTGTGTAACAATCTCCACAGGACCAGTTAAATTTTTTAAATACACATAGATGTGGCCAAATTCGGAAGTTTATCCTTCAACTGCATTAGTATCATACAACGAGTAGTAGATTTCAAATACACTGTAGCAGCAAAGGTGTTTGATATCAGATTTATTAATTTCAGTATCAGTGTTTCTGAAGCTGGATCTCTTTTGAACTCTAAGGTTTAGATACAATAACTTCTTCGATACCATTTGAAGGTGCTTTTCTCTAGCTGTTTTCATTGTTACAGTCTTTATGAACTTTTCAGGTAGGTAGGTAGGTAGCAGTGGAATTTAAGACGTATGAGGTTTGGTTTTTACTTAGGTACACAAGTACATCCGTCTGATGAGTCCGAAATAGGATGAAACTTGCGTTATGGATTCCACTGCTAGTCACAACCAAGTTAATTATAGCATTTTTCATTTATCGTCCTTTTTCTGTCTAAAGTATAGATTAGTTTTTTTGCACTAATTCACAAGGGAGCGATAACCGAATTTGGAATTATTTTTCTGCCTACTTTCAATCTATCATATTCAGTGTCACTAATCACAATGATGAAGTGGATTCTCAGAGTTTTTTGTCGGTTAAAAATTGTTTACCATGAGGTTATTCATTCAACTTTTTCTTCCAGTGTAGAACCTCACAGTATAGTACATCATTAAAATTGTCATACTTCGCAATATGGAACATATAAGAGGGGCATAGAAGTAGGAAATAATAACAGTGGGATTGGGAAGGAATAATCTCTTCAAGATTTTAGGGTCTAAGGTGTATGTGAATACAAATGGGCTGTTGTGTAACGTTAGCAACCGTGAAGCGTACGCTTAGGGATATCCCCATCCAGTAGGTAGTGACAACGTTTGACAATCTTGAGGATTCTTACGATCTACTGCTAAGTTTAACAACCTTCTGTGTATGTAATGTTGCCAAAGGTTGGCTACAGTCTCACAGATTTATAATAGATGGACTCAATTCTGTCATTCCATGAAACTTCAGCAATGCCTCTATGGGCAGTTGGCACGTTATCTTCCTTTCACTTAGTTAGAAATCATATCAGTGAACGATCTGGTAGTATCCTATCCTTATAACTTTGTTACACACATAGAAGTGTATGTTTGCTTGTTTTTATTCGCAGCAAACCGACTTGTTCTTAGTTGACTTGTAATATAACCCTCAAATATGAAAACGGACCAGCATATAACAAAAATATAGTTTGAAGCTCCACCGTCTATTATTCTTAACAATATTTAGACAATAAGACAATGGATTATTAGTATACCGAAGTGGGGTATTATCCATAATTGTGTATCATTTTTCCTCTCTAACAGTTTATGACAATGTTATACCATTTAGCTCAGTGATCGCTGTCAAGAAACCGTATATGGCACGGTCTTAGTTATTCCTCCTAGAAATCGAAATATGATACTTTAGACTTCATA